CCCCTGCCGGCTGCCTTCCAAGGAGAGAGCACATGTGCCAGGATGAACATGCCTTTTGAGGGGAGGAAAAGGAAGGGATGGGCCTGAGGGCACTCAGCACACACTGATTGGTGGTCTCATATAAGGCACAAAGTTAGGAACTTAGGAATTGGGGGCTTAGGGTATTTGGCAGGTGCTGATTGGTGGTTCAATGTACAGTCCCTGTAAGGTGCCTGGTTAAGTGATCAGGAATGTCCAGACTGCCGGTGGAGTTTACGTCATTCTCCGTCCATCAGTTGGGACAAGGGAGGATTTATCATTCACAGCTGCGTTTGAGGGCAGGTGGCAGAGGAGTGTAGGAAATGGAAGGGCATTCTGACGTCTGCCACACACGTGTGTCCACAGGCCTTGGGACAGAGCAAAGGGAAGGCCAGACAGGTGGGGACAGCGGGGCTAAGCTTAAGGAAAAGATGTGCCATGACAGTAGGTGGAGGAGGAAGGCAAGGAAGCCCAGGCACAGAGGAAGACTCGAGGAAGGCGCCATGGAGGGCCCATGGCGTGTTCAGCGGGGCCAGGGCAGCCAGTGTGGGCAGAGAAGTGGTGAGTGGGCTGGGAAGTTATTTGAAGCCCCTTATGAAGGGCTTGAACACCATGAAGAGAAGAGAACTTTATTGGGTTGTCATCCATTATCATCATCATCACCACTGTGATGTTTACATTTTATTAGTTGATTTTATTTTATTTACTGAAAATATTTTTATTGATTTCAGAGATGAAGGGAGAAGGAGAGAGATAGAAATATCAATGATGAGAGAGAATCATTGATTGGCTGCTTTCTGCACCGAGCCCACCACCCGGGCATGTGCCCTGACCAGGAATTGAACTCGGGACTCTTCAGTCCGCATGGCCAATGCTCTATCCACTGATCCAAACCAGCTGGGCTTAATTTATTGATTTTAGAGAGAGGGGAAGGAAGAGAGAGAGACCTTTGGTTGTTCCACTTATCTATGCATTTCTCTGCTGGTTCTGCGTGTCCCTGAGCCCGCAGCCTGGGCACAGTAGGACGATGCTCTAACTAGCTGTGCTGCCCAGCCAGGCCCATGGTGTTCAGTGAGCACCCACTCTGTGAAGGCAGAGTTCAGGCTCCGAAGACAGCAGATGCTGTCACATCTCAGCTCTGCCACTCACAGCCACAGACCGTGGGAAATTCTTTAACCCCTTTGAGCCTAACTTCCTTGGCTTAGTGTGGGATGATCTCTCCCTCTGGCATTGTCATCAGGAGAAGATGAAGTGATGCTGGAGCTTGCAAGGTGGGCAGACACATGAGCCCAGGAAGCACTGCTGGGGTGCAGGATAGCCTTAGCCTGCGTTTTCTCATGCAGTGCCTGCAGGAACGCTGCCAGCAGGTGGCAGTACTCCCGCTTGGCAGAGGCCCTGAGCCTGCAGCAGGTGAGTGGCAGTGCTAACATCTTGGTCAGTGGCAGTGTCCCTGGGAGAAAGCTCCCAGTCCTCCTGCCTTGGTGCCCTTTCCTGTAAAGAAGTAGTGGCCAGTCCTAGCCAGTTTGGCTCAGTGGATAGAGTGTGAGCCTGCAGACTGAAGGGTCCCAAGTTCGATTCCGGTTAAGGGCACATGATGGGGTTGGAAGTTGGATCCCCAGTAGGGGACATGTAGGAGGCAGTTGATCAATGATTCTCTCTCATCATTGACGTTTCTATCTCTCTCTCCCTTGCCCTTCCTCTGGGAAATCAATAAAAATATATTTTAAAAAAGAAGTGGTGGCCCTGGGAGCTTATTGGGAGCAGCAATATGCTTGTTCTGACCTCGAGTGGTTGTTGGTACACCCAGGTTCTGCTGGAGCCTCCCACTGGCCTGGTGGCACAGAAGGAAGCTGGCTGGGCACTCATTTGTCAACTCACTGTCCCTCGGTTTCGGAAAGGTGCCATTTTCTGGAATTAACCTGTAATTCACACACACTGAGATAATCATATGAGTTTCAAATAACTAAAATATCGACAGCAATAATAGCTCAGAGAGCACCAACCGCGCAGGGCAGGAAAGGAGAGCCATTTCCTCAACAAGGAAACTGGTAAAGGAGGAGTCCTGCGGAGTTACATTAGAATACACTAGATTCCAAATACGTTCAGTTTCTAGGTTCCTCGTGCTCTTTCACTCTGAACCCGAGCCCCCAGACATTCTTATCGTTTCTGAGTGGAAAGACCTCAGGCCTAGTCAACCGCCAGGGCCTTTGGAGGATCGCTTTTAGGTTGAGCAGAGGGAGAAGTCTGGCTGGAGGTGGAGAGGATCCAGGCTGCGGTGCCGAGGATGGCGGAGTGAGAGGGAACGTGGGAGGGATGAGCTCTGGCCAGTGATCAGATGACCAACCTTCTCGTCCCCTCTGCCATCATTATTTCTGTCTCACATAGTCCACTTCCGTTTTCTGCATCTCAAATCCGGCACCGGAGCCAGTGGCCTGAGCTATTACTGCCTGTCCTGCTAGCAGCACTGGGGCCTGGCCTCTCAGGATGGCAGAAACAGCCAAGCCCATGAGGGTGTGTTTAAGGCCAGCACTGTGCGCGTGGCTCAGTTCAGGCAGCCTTTTGTGGGCAGAGCCGGGAGCACTAGGTTCCCTGTGAGCTTTGAGGGTTGGCCTAACAGGAGGATGGTTCCCAGTGCCCCATCCAATTTCACTTGGCTCTTCAGGGACCCAGCTCCTGCCATACCCCTGGCTGCAGAAAGATGGGGCGCTGCTGCGCACAGCACTGCCAGGTGCCCGTGGCCTACAGCCTGGAGCTGGCTTGCGCTCTTTGAGCTTCAGCGTGGGGCCTGCAGGCAACGCTTGCCGTGATGGAGTGACCTCCGGATTGGATCTCCCAGTTGGACTTCCCATCCCCCCCAGTGAGCCAGGTTCAGTGTGGGCCTCAGCTCCCTTGTCTGTGAATGGTCGATAGGAGCGCCTGGCGTGGGGGTGGGCCTGAGTTCTAAGTGAGCTCATACACGGAAGCACTGGCCTGCAGGTAGGAAGCACTGAGCACAGGCCCCGGTGAATGGACCCTCCTCTCTGCAAGACAATGTGCTCCCTACAGCCTTGCTCAGGGCCCTGCTCCGGAGAATCCTGGATGGAAATCTGTGAACAACAACAAATCTGTTTTAAAATGTCTCTAACAAAAGAATGGCGTCAGCAGTTTACTTTGTCCCAAAGCCATAGAGGAACACAGAGCAAGTGAGCCTCCTGGGTGCGAGGAGGCCCAGTCACGGGTGGACGGGTCTGGCTGGAGGCAGTGCTGGGGCTCCGGAACCCCACTGGGCCCCACTGCTCCCTGGCCCAGCAGTCTCCATGGTGTTTCGGGTCCCAGGCTGGGCAGGCACCCTCCTGGTGGATGTGTACAAGCTGGTCTCCCTGCTGGGTCTCAGGCCCATCTCAGGGCTGACCACTGAGCGGGCCGGGGTGGGGTGCTGAGTGAATGAGCCAGGCTCACAACTGCTCAGGACCTCAGCCTTTCCTGAAAGCACATGCTCACACTCATCCCTTGGTGTCTGCACGAGTGAGCGTGCCCTCTCCCAGACAGACCAGGCCCTGCTGCCGGATCTCCCTTTCACACTTAACTGGCACATCACCCTTCTGCCTCCCCTCAGCCTGGGGTAGGGCACCCTATGCCCCCGGACACCCTGTGTATGCTCACACTGACGAGACAGTGGTTGCACCGGAGGCACAGAGATGGGTGCTTTGGAGGTGGGTGAAGAGCTGTTGACTAGGCAGCAGCTCACAGCATGGGGACTGCGGGAGCGAAGGGGGACAGGAAGGTGCCCCAATGTGGGCTTCTCATGACCTAGGTGGGGAGGCAGCAGAGCTTTCTTAGGTGAGAGGGCGTGGATTGCGCCTTGACCAACACGTAGGAGCTCAGCGGACGATGGGATCGGAGAGAGCTTTCCCACCTGGGGGTCAGCTGGAAGGGCCTGGTGCAGCCAGCAAAGGCGTCCAGCACAGGGTAGGAGCACAGTGGCCAGGAGGGGATAGAAGTAAAGTTAAAAGAGACAAATTCTTATAAATGCAAGGTCCTCAGCTTCTGCTACCAGGAGGCATGGCTGGCAGGGGTCTGTAATTTGTAAGAACATCAACAACGGCAGCAGATTTGGAGAGGAACCCCCTCAGCGAGGCCGTAGAGGGAGCATGCTCACGCTGAACCGGGTCACGAACTCCGCGCCCACCAGGCCACGTGGCACCATAAGCGAGAACGAAGGAAACAAGAGAAAAGCTAAAGTGGCTCCTCAGGCAACACAAACCCGGGGCTTTGTGCATCCCGCACCCCATTCACGTCTCAGGTCCTGAAAGCTGCGGTCACTTAAACTTCACCATCTCGCTTCTGAAATCATCAGGCAAAGAATATGTCAACCGGATTGGAACAGGCAACCCTGACAAATTTGTGTGGCTCTTTGTAAGTGTCGTCCGGTGCTTTCTACCTGACACAATGTGGCCTGATGTACTGCAGCCATGCCTTCTCGGACAGACTCCCCCCAGGACCACATGGGCTCTGCGCCACTTCCCTGGACCAGGAGATGACGGGGAGGAGAGGAATAAGGAAAAACACACACCGCCCTGGACAGGGGCAACTTGAATGCCCCGCTATTCAGTGAAGTACACAGAAGCTCCTCGCCAGCCGCCGCCCAGCGCCGGGGGAGATGGCCTGGGGACGCAGCCTCGGCCAGTCTGGTGACCTGCGCTCTCACCACAGGGTCCTAATTGACCATCAGCCCGTCCTGCGTGCGCGTCAGGAAAATCAATCCATTTGCAGGGGAGACAGTTTCCTGCTACTGCTCATATTTTCACTAAAACCCCATTTTCCTGGAACCAACATTGAAAAAAACGGCACATTTTATTCAAAACAAGGCGATATTGGTATTGATGGAGCCGCAGTGATAATGAGGGCGATCAATCTTCCCTCCTCCATTATGGGGTATTGAGCAATTTTGGAGTAAACTTGTGGCATCATTAGGCAAGATCAGCATTTCTCCTTTTTGAAAACTTTTTCTTTTTGCATATTTAAAATATTCCCACTGGGGGCGGGGGCAGGGGGTGTGGGTGTGGGGAAGAGGGGAAGAAGCAAAACCCACAAACAAAAGAAAGGCCCTGAAGACCTCCAGAGCAGTGACTGAAGGGCGGGCCATGGAAACAGGAGGCTGCAGACACTTCTCCCTAATTCTTATCAATCATACATTGTGGTGTGTTTTTGCATCTTACTTTCTATACAATTCCCCCACCCACCCCAAGACTCTCCAACTCTCCCCCAAATTAAAAGACTGTAGTGACCAAAATCCAAGTTCTGGACGACAGGAAGTTCAAGGCCAGAAGGTGGAAGCGTTCCCTTATGACTCAATGTTTCCCAAACTTTTGACATATGTGTACCCCTTCTATAATTTTCGAAATGCTGAGTACCCCTCATACTCATGAGAACATAGAATTAGGCGCAGCTAAGCATGGTGCAGTGCATACCCCACCAAACTCCGGTGCAATGCGTACCCCCACCAAACTCTTCCCATACCCTGCGGGTATGTGTACCACACTTTGGGAAATATTGTGTGAAGGGGAGGTGTTTCCTGAGGCCTCACTTTCAGGTGAAATCCACCTCCTGGGGGGGGAGGGGGTGCCACCTAAGACAGGGCTGTTAGTGAGAGAGCCAGCTGAGGGCGCAGCCACTGCCAGCCCCAGCTGCTTCTCCACAGACGGGATTGCACCCGCTTGACCAGACTGTCCGCCTTGAGAGCGGCCACATGCCTGGACTTCGTGTAACCTCTCGGCACTTGTAAGCTTTGTCAGTGGATTCGGAAATTACTTCCACATTGCAGGCCAAGGGCACAGTCCCTGGCAGACGCACTGGCCTGCTGGAGTGCTGCCTGTTTTAGGGTCGCCTTGCGGTCATCCGAGCCAGAGGCTCGAGCCCTCCCGCAGATGGCTCGGCCCCTGTGGTGAGCGGGACTCCGTGAGGGCAGGAGTCCAGTGGCCACAGGCTCGGCGGGGTGCGCTCCTGGCCCCACAGCCAGTCGGAGGCCTGGTGGGAGCCTATGCAAGGCCCGCACGCACTCTGGCCTCGGGACTCACCGGCCTGGTTCCTCGCAGCTGTCCCGGGAGGTCCAGTGCTCCGTGGCCAGCCACATCCAGGGCCTGGTGAAGTCGGAGAAGAACCGCCAGGTGGCGTGCGAGGCGGGGATGCTCAGGACCCTCATGGCCTCCTGCCGCCAGGCCCTGGCCGCGGGCAGCGGCGCCCTGCACTGCGGCCTCGTCAGGATCTTTGAGAAGCTGGCCTCCCAAGCCATCGAGCCCCACGTGTTAAGGTACTTGTGCCGCCTTGGGACAGGGAGCCCGGCAGCAGCTCATGCACAGCGGGCAGGGCAGGCCTGGAGCACTTTCCCGGGCCCTCCCACCCCTGCACCATCACTGCGAGGCTGGGGTGCCTGGAGGCTGTGCCGACAGAGGGAGGGCCCGCAAAGCAGACCGGCCCATGAGCTGCTGGTCTCAGCGAGGGGACAATAGTCAAAGGGCCTGTGACATTAAAGAACCCTCCGTGGGGGAGCTTGGCGGGTGCTTGTCAGGGAGAGCTGGAGTGGAGCTGGGAGAGCCACAGCCCGGAGGTTAGAGGTCAGGGCAGCCTCCCTGAGGCCTGAGGCCTGTGCGAAGTTCCCCAGCCCAGCGGGAGAGGGACCCAGCATGGGAACGGGGGCGGGTGGGAGGGGGCTGTGAGCTCACTGGCTGAGGCAGCAGCCAGGGCTCCTGACAGGCCAGAGGACAAGACTGCCTGTGGCAGCCCCTCCTCAAACTGTGCCCTGGAGGAAAGAGGCAGGGCTGGAAGACACTGAGAGGCAGGTAGAGGCCAGAAAGGCTCAGGAGGGAGGGCAGGCCTCCTAAGGCCCTGTGCCCGGGCCACCCATCTACTTTGTTGGGGGCAGAGTCCAGGGTCCCATGCCTGCGGGCCCTGTGCTGGCCGCAGGGCCATGTGCAGAGGGGCATCAGGCACCCTTCCGGCAGCAGGCGTGGGCTCAGGGCCAGGCCAGCCTCTCTGCCTCTGGAGGTGCCAGCTGCCAGGCAGTGCCGCTGTGCCTGCTAGAGGGGGGGGGGGTGGGGTGTCAGCACTGGGAGGCAGGGAAGGCTGGAGGAAGCTGGGGGGTGGGCACTGGGAGGCAGGGAAGGCTGGAGGAAGCTGGGGGGGCGGGTCAGCACTGGGAGGCAGGGAAGGCTGGAGGAAGCTGGGGGGTGGGCCCTGGGAGGCAGGGAAGGCTGGAGGAAGCTGGGGGGTGGGCACTGGGAGGCAGGGAAGGCTGGAGGAAGCTGGGGGGGCGGGTCAGCACTGGGAGGCAGGGAAGGCTGGAGGAAGCTGGGGGGTGGGCACTGGGAGGCAGGGAAGCTGGAGGAAGCTGGGGGGTGGGCACTGGGAGGCAGGGAAGCTGGAGGAAGCTGGGGGGTGGGCACTGGGAGGCAGGGAAGGCTGGAGGAAGCTGGGGGGTGGGCACTGGGAGGCAGGGAAGGCTGGAGGAAGCTGGGGGGTGGGCACTGGGAGGCAGGGAAGGCTGGAGGAAGCTGGGGGGTGGGCACTGGGAGGCAGGGAAGCTGGAGGAAGCTGGGGGGTGGGCACTGGGAGGCAGGGAAGCTGGAGGAAGCTGGGGGGTGGGCACTGGGAGGCAGGGAAGGCTGGAGGAAGCTGGGGGGTGGGCACTGGGAGGCAGGGAAGGCTGGAGGAAGCTGGGGGGTGGGCACTGGGAGGCAGGGAAGGCTGGAGGAAGCTGGGGGGTGGGCACTGGGAGGCAGGGAAGGCTGGAGGAAGCTGGGGGTGGGCACTGGGAGGCAGGGAAGGCTGGAGGAAGCTGGGGGGTGGGCACTGGGAGGCAGGGAAGGCTGGAGGAAGCTGGGGGGTGGGCACTGGGAGGCAGGGAAGGCTGGAGGAAGCTGGGGGGTGGGCACTGGGAGGCAGGGAAGGCTGGAGGAAGCTGGGGGGGGTGTCAGCACTGGGAGGCAGGGAAGGCTGGAGGAAGCTGGGGGTGGGCACTGGGAGGCAGGGAAGGCTGGAGGAAGCTGGGGGGTGGGCACTGGGAGGCAGGGAAGGCTGGAGGAAGCTGGGGGGTGGGCACTGGGAGGCAGGGAAGGCTGGAGGAAGCTGGGGGGTGGGCACTGGGAGGCAGGGAAGCTGGAGGAAGCTGGGGGATGGCAGCAAACCATCTCCTCCGTTTGCTTCTGTTGGTGTGGTATCCAGGCAGTTCCTGGCCCTGGGAGCGCCCTCACCTCCGGCGGCTGCGGAGCACGTCCCTGGGCCATCAGGTGTGCACGGAGGGGCCTCTGGACGCCCAGGTGAGGACGGAGGGGAGGACAGGGCAGGCTAACGGGAATTCCAGGAGAGCGGGCATTCCTCACACGGGCTCACTCTCCGCCAATGGGAAGCAGATTAAAACATGGTTTTCCTGCTGCTCACCGGAGCAGATGAGGAAAGCAGAGGCTGGGTGGAGGGACAGCAGTCTCTGAGAAGGATGCCTGGCCGCGCTGCCTCTGGACCACGGTGCCAGGACGGCTCTCTGAGCAGCTCTCAGCTCAGGCCGGGTCAGGAGTTGAAGCATCGGGCAGATGCGGGTGTCGGGCCTCCTGATAGGAAGCTGGCCCAGGGAACCAGCCTGGAGAACAGAAACCTGCAGACACACTAAGTGTGAGGCCATCTAGAACGCTAAGGCAAGGAGTCCCGGTTGGGAAGCGAGAAGGAAGAGTCGGCTTGGGCTGCGGCCAGAGCGGGAGGCAGGAGCCTTCAGGGAGGCAGGCTGCTCAGAAAGGAGGTCGGCCAGCCAAGAGGAAGTCTCGGCCCACAGCTGCCCCCGGGCAAGCCGGGATGGCATCAGAGGAGTGTGAGGAGGGTACAGGGAGAAGTTTCGGGTGGGAGGGTGGAGGTTGTGACCTCAGTGCTGTGCTATCAGAACCCGCAGGGAGCCCGGGGTGGCCAGGAGAGCTGCCCTCAGAGGGGCAGGAACCAGGGGGACTGCAGAGCCTCCCCGGCTGCGGTTGAATGTGGGCCTCGGCCAGAGGGGTAGGTATGCCCTGAGCACAGCCACAGCTCCGCTCTTGTTGCTGCCGTAGGCCCGCAGGCGGTGGCGGGGAAGACGGCCCAGGACGCCAGCCGGAGCCCCGCAGACACGCAGGCCCTCAGGCGCCAGCCGCAGGCCCAGAGCCCCCCGCCGGCCCTCCAGACCGCTCTGAGCCTCATCTCCATGACCTCCCCCCGCAACCTGCAGCCGCAGCGAGCCGCCCTGGCCCCGTCCTTTGTGGAGTTTGACATGTCCGCGGAAGGTTATGGGTATGGCGGCCGGCCTTTGCTTATAAAATACACCTAATTCTTTCCTGGTGCCTCAGGTGCGGCATTGATTCCAAAGTCCCTTTAGCGGGAAGCTAACTCCCACCACTCTGCTCACGCACGCCCGCCCCCTCTGCTCAGCGCTTCTCAGGGCGGCGTCCCCAGCTGCATATGGCCAGGGCCCTCTCTTTCCCCTGCAGTGTCTGCATTCTGGAATGTCCTGTCTTCCAGCCTCCAGTTTGGTTCCTTTCTTAGGCCATAGGACCCATGTCAACCACAGAGTGGCTTCTGTCCCCGAGTCTCAGGCTTCCAGAGCACGGGAGGCCTCTGCAGAGACAGAGGAGGGGGCTTGCAGGGCACTCACAGGCTGTCTCTTTCCAGGTGTCTGTTTATCCCCACCCTGTCCACGGTGATGGGAGCCAGCACTGAGTATTCGGTCTCCGGAGGGATTGGGACAGGTAGGTGCTGCCTGAGTTCGGCTGGCGGGTCCCCCAACTCTGCCCAGGGAGAGTGTCCCCAGGAAGCCTGGGTTTCAGATTCCCTCCAAGCTTGTCCAGAGCCCTTCTCCCGCTCTGGTCTGTGCATGAGTCATCCTCTGTCTGTCATGCCTCTTGGGCAGGTGTCCTGTTCACCCACGGCCTCCTGCTCTGTGGTCAGGGGCCTGGTGCTGAGCCTGGGCTGATAAGGCTCACACCTCCCTCACCCCTCCCTCACCCCAGCTTCCGACTCTCCCTGAAGATCAATGGGAGCTCCTGTGAGGCCGCTCAGGAGCAAACCTGTCCTGGCTCCTGAGCGGCCTGGGCCTGGGCCTGGGCCTGGGCATGCTCTGCACAGTACTGTCCCCCTGGGAGCAGGGTTTCTACGGGAATTGGTGTGTGGGGGCACCCAGTGATACTGCTCCTTAGTAAGAACATCAGGCAGTGCCAACCCCACCCTGAGGTGAGAGGGCAGGGTCTGCTCAGGGGCAGCCTGTCCCTGCAAGTGCCGCCTTCTGCCCCTTGGAGCACACTGCCCTCCCAGGCCAGCTGGCTGCGCCTAAAGTTGGGGGGTCTCAGGGCCTCAGGGCTGTGCCTTCTCCAGGCCCTTGGGAATGGGTCTCAGGGCTGTGCCCCCCTCTGCTCACTTGGCAGGGGTGTTGGAGGATCTGTGCTCAAGTCCCGGTGGGATTATGACTTTTCCCGAGAGTCTGAGTGAGCAGACTAGAGCATGCTGCTGGGTGGGGTTGGTGTAAAGTGAACATGAGTCGGAAGCATGGAGCTGACACACAGTAGGACCACCCGGGTGAAATCCCAGCCACGGCGACCCTGGGAGGCTTCCCAGCAGCACAGAGCCTCAGGGCACTTGTATTCCGACCACAGGCGCTGCCAGACCCTTCCCTCCACCCTCCGGCCTCACCTTCTCCTGCTGGTTCCTGGTCGGCAGGCACGGCTCGGCCCTCGAGGGCCACCCGCTGCGCTTCCTGACCCTGGTGCGCCATCTGGCCCGGACTGAGCAGCCCTTCGTCTGCTTCTCCGTCAGCCTCTGCCCGGACGACCTCTCCCTGGTCGTGTCCACGGAAGAGAAGGAGTTCCAGCCTCTGGGTAGGCGTTGGGACCACAGCTGTTTCTCCCACACGAGGGGAAAGGGGGCAGAGTCAGCAGCTCCTGGCACAGAGCCCAGGAGCCTGGCCTCGCTGGCATGCTGGCGGCAGGTCCTGGCTCTGCCATCGCATCCCCACACACTGTGCTCACCTGCCTGTGCTGGCCCCAAGGGGCCTAGACGGCCGAGCTCAGTGCATCCTGTTACCCTGAAAGTGTCACTTTCGGGGAAAACCTGGGACGGCCCAGGGGAGGCGTGGCAGGACCCGCCTTTCCCTCTGAGGCCGTTGGCGGCACGTGTGCGCCGCTGTGGAGGTGGCCTGGTATGCGGAGGCCCGGAGTCTGACTCCCGGGCTGGAACTGGCTGTGACCTAACTCTCGGTGCCTCACGGGGGTGTCGTGGAAATGAAATGCGCTGACATTTCTAACAGTCCCCCAAACAGTGTCTGGCTCAAAGCAAGAGCTCAGCAGGGATGGCCGCTGCTGACATTGTGTTGTAAGCGGGACAGGACCGGGCTGCTGCGGCCTCCCGTCACATGGGAGGTCTCTGTTGCTCTCTCTTCCAGACGCCATGGAGCCCGAGGACAGCTCGGAGCCCTCTGCGGGACGCCAGCTTCGGGTCCGGTGTGGCCAGCTGCTGGCCTGTGGCCAGTGGCATCACCTGGCTGTGGTCGTCACCAAGGAAATGAAAAGGAACTGCACCGTGTCCACCTATCTGGACGGACAGTCCATTGGCTCAGCCAAGGTGAGGGGTCCCCAGCCGCGCTCGCCCCGCCCCGCCTCCTGGCTGGGCTCTTCCACGTCTGTGCTTTCTCTCGGCACCCAGTGAGGCCCCCTCACTGGGCCGGACACTTGGCTGAACTCGGGCATAAAAGGGCATCTTTACAAAATGCGGCAAAGGTCACGCAGTCAACGCAGAAGGTAAAACGTGGAAATGAGAGTAGTCGTGACTGCTATGAACGGAAGAATAGGCAGAGGAAAACATGTCTCTAGAGTGAAAATTAAGACTGTTAACATCCAGGGGTGGATTCCCGGGAAGGTCTGAGCAGGGCCAGGGTCCAGCTCTGTCAGAGGCGTCCGGGGAGTCAGTGCCCGGGCCTGGTGGTGGCCACCCCGAGCAGCAACATGCCACAGCTGTGAGGACACCAACGTGTCCTGCCATATTCAGAATGGCCAGGACAGGATGAGTCTTCGTGTGGGGAGACACGGAGGGGGACACAGCTGGAGGAAGTGCCTCGTCACTAGCATTAGTCACCATGGTCCTGAGGTGTAAGGGCGAGGAGCCAGGAGGGCAGGACCTGACCATCCCGCCAGTCAGAGGTCCCGGGAGGCCAGGCAGTAGTGAAGGGCACCATCCCCTGGCCTCACTCCCTTCATGTGGGAAGCACAGAGGGCTGCGTCCGGTCAGTTACTGCAGAGACCGTGGGAGGGTAGTTCGGCCATGTTTCCAAAATCTCCTGTGGCCAGACACACAGCCAGAATGGAGAGCCTTAGATGAACAGGGTTTCTCATCCAACACCGTTGCCGCTTTGATAATCTTGTCGTGGGGCCTATTCTATGTATGCTAGGGCCCTGAGCGATGTCTGTGTCCCCTGCGTGCCACGGCATGCCCTGTCCCCACTGTGACCAGCAAAAACATCTCCACATTTCCTGCTGGCACGGGCAAAACAGCCCAGGCTGAGACCATAAGGTTAGCACAACCTACCTTCTCTAGGACACCTCCAGGTAAACGGGCTGCGGTCCTCTGGTAAAAGTATCTTACAAAAATAAAATGCACGGTAATCAGACAGATGCAGCAAGAGGATGAGAAGAACAGGTCTCCAAAACAGAAAATTAGCTTTTTTCTGCAATCATTATCAATACTAGACCTTCCTCCCTACCTCCCTCCCTCATTACATATTTACTGAGTTCTTACTGTGTGTAAAGTACTGTTTCAAGTGCTGGGAATTGTCCATGTCCAGTCAAATGCCTCGAGGAGTGTGCATATCTAGAATATAAGCTTTTAGGATTAGATTTTTTACACACATGATTTTTGGGAAATTCACCCAAGTTGTTGCACCTCAGTACTTCATTCGTTTTTATTGCTGAGTAGTGTTCCATGGAATCTATAATAATAAAAGCATAATGTGCTAATTAGACTGATGTCCGTCTGGACGTCCTTCCTTCCGGACAAAGCTGCAGTGGGCGGGGCCACAGCAGAGGCCCCGGAGGCGGCGGAGGCAGGCGGGGCCAGCGCCAAAGTCCTTGCATTAATTCCGTGCATCAGGCCTCTAGTGGATTCATGACTGTCGAAGACCATCTGGATTGTAGGGTTTGGCTGTTAAAAACAAAGCCACGATGAACCCTGTGAACAGCTTTTTTTGGGTGTGAACTTAAGTCTTCATTTCTCTGAAGTAGATACCCACTGTCCCACAGCTGGGTCCAGTGGCATTACAAGTTTACTTGTATAAGAAACTGCCAAACTATTTCCCAGAGCGACTGTCCTCCGTCTTACATTCCCACCGGCAATGAGTGGCTCAGGTTCTCTGCATTCGGTGTTGTCACTAGGTTATCATTAGCCTGATCAGTATGTAATGGTGTGTTTTCTAATTAAAAAATTTTTTCAATTAAACTTTTTAAATATAGTTTTATTGATTTATTTGTGTGTGTGTGTGTGTGTGTGTGTGTGTGTATTTTAGAGGACCGGTGCATGAATTCATGCATGGGTGGGGTCTACCTAGGGGGAGGAGACATGGGTGGTTGGCTGGCCCTGCCTGCTGGTTAAACTCCTGGTGGAAGGGACAATTTGCATATTAGCCTTTTATTATATAGGATATATACTGAGTGGCCAGGTTATTATGCGTTCAGAGATCATAATAATCTGGCCACTCAATGTATTCTCCTGTTCAGTGGGTTATTTCTTTGTTTTGTTGATGATTTCCTTTGCTATACAAAACTTTTTCGTTTGATCTGGTTCCATTTATTTTTTTTTTCTGTTTCTCTTGCTTGAGAAAGTATGTCAGAAAAGAAATGTTATTAAGAGAGATGTCCAAGATTTTGCTACCTATGTTTTTTTCCTAGGATTTTGTTGGTATTGAGTCTTACATTTAAGTCTTTAATCTGTTTTGAGCTACTTCTTGTATATAGCATAAGAAAGGTGTCTAGTTTCATTTTTTGCAATTATCTGTCCAATTTTCTCAACACCATTTATTGAATAGACTGTCTTTATCCCATTATATGTTCTTGTCTCCTTTATCAAATATTAGTGGTTTTTTTCCTGGGATCTCTATTATGTTCCATTCATCTCTATGTCTGTTTTTATGCCAGTGCCATGCTATTTTGATTAACATTGCCTTGTAATATAGTTTGATATCAGACAGCATGCTCCCTTCAACTTTTTTCTTCTTTCTCAAGATGGCTGTGGTTGTTCACGGTCTTTTGTGGTTCCATATGTACTTTTTGAATTATTTATTATAGTTCTGTGAAATATGCTATTGGTATTTTGATAGAAAATACATTGAATCTGTAGATTGGTTAGGGTAGAGTAAGATTCTTACAATGTTAATTTTTTCCGGCGTGTTTTTAATATGCATTTCTTTGGTAGCTAATCACATTGAACACCTTCTCATGTGCTTCTCTGCCATCTGTATATTCTCTCCAGTGATGTCTGTTCATGTCTTTTACTCATTTTCTAATTGCACTGTGTGATTTTACTGTTGAGTTTTAAGGGTTTTTGGTTCTTTTAAAAATATGTTTTAGATACTAGTACTCTGTCAAGTATTTAATTTGCAAATACTTTTGCCTGATTTATAGCTTATTTTTATCTTCTTTCACATGGATTTTTCAGAGCCAATACCTTATTTAATAAAGTTCAATTTATCTGTTGCTTTTGGTGTTAAGTTGAAGAACTTCTTGCCTGAATATTTTCTCCTATGCTTTTAAAAAGCATTTTCTAGTTTAAAACTTTACATTTTAGTTTGTGGCAAATTTTGAGCTAATTTCTGAGTAAGGAATGAGGTCTAGGTTGCTGTTCATTTCTTTAACTGTGAATGTCCAGCTTTTCAACACTGGGGATTGAAGATGCCACGCTTCCACCATTGAAATGCTTTTGAACCTTTGTTAAAGCACAGTTGGCCATATTCTTATAGGTTAACTTCTGGATCCCCTATTTCATTCCGTTGTCTGCATGGCTATCCCCCTACCAATACCATACTGTCTTAATTATGTGGCTATATAATAAACCTTAATATTTGGTGGAGTGGTACCCAATATTTCAAAAACAAAGAATTAATCTACTCATCAGTTATTTGTTTAAGCCTAGGACCCATTTCTTTTCACATAAGTTTTAGAATTGGCTTGTCTGTCTACAAAAAAGCCTCCCGAGGTTTTGATAGGGTTGCGTTAAAACTCCCAATCATCTTGGGGAGAAATTACTTCTTTGCTATGTTGCGTCTTCCTCTCCAGGAGCTCAGTCTGTCCCTTCCTGTGCACGGGTCTCTCTGGTTCACTTACCATCCTCTCGGACTCTTCAGGAGCAGCTCCTGCACGGGTTCTAGTGAGTGCTTCCTTTCCTCTGAGCAGCTGTACACGGTATTGATCTTGATGTTAGCTTCAGCGTGCTTGTTGTTAGACTTAGAATGCAGTTACTTTTGTGTGTCGATCACATATCCATCCTGGGGCCTTGCTGAGATCACTGGTTAGTTCTAGGAGGTTGGGGTGGTTTTTTAAATTGTAGATTCCTTGGAATTTTCTACATGGACACAGCCTTTGCAAATAGAGATGATTTCTTTCTTCCCATTCTGTGTATCTGTAGTTATTGTTACTACATAAGTTAACGTGTCTATCCTGGACACGTGGGTTCTCAGTTAGAGGACTGGGACACACAGATGGACCTTTCAGTGGCTCTCACTGTTCCTCAGTTTCCTAAGGCACAGTGCCACCCACTCCCACTAGCATTTCATGAACTGTTTTCTGCCCTGTGTCCCAGCATGGAGAGTATCTTCATAATGCTTTCAGGTGAAATGAATCTTTACTTCGAGAAGAATGAAGTGCATCATTTTATGTCCACAGGTACTTGTTTGATTGATTCCGAAGTTAACCGCCTCCCCCTTTGCCTGTTGGCAGATGCTGTACATCCAGGCCCTGCCGGGACCTTTCCTCTCCATGGACCCGTCGTCGTTTGTGGATGTTTACGGGTACATCGCGACCCCTCGGGTTTGGAAGCAGAGGTCGGCGTTAACTTGGCGTCTGGGTCCCACCTACCTCTTTGAAGAAGCCGTCTCTATGGAAACTCTGGAAGTTATTAACAAGCTCGGCCCGAGATACTGCGGCAACTTCCAAGCTGTGCCGGCCCACGGTGGGGTGTTCTGATTGATAATGATCTTGTTGATTTTATTTTAAAACCAGACATCCATTTATTTATAGCGTATTTATAGAGTAAACTCAGCACCGGCAGGTCTGTCGGGAAGACCTGTGTATGTGGATCGTTATATGTTCACAAGCAACAGAAAATGTCACAAGAAAGGAAATGACCATGTCCTTCATATTTCAGCTCCAAAGCACATGTGGGGGAGAGTGGTGGGTCACACCGTCAGCAAAGAGGAGAAGAGAGTGAGACAAATAAGATCCGTTCCTTTTAATGAAGGAGCTTTTTAACTAAAGTACATGCTGTTCTCAATTATTAAACAGGCAGACACAGCATCCAATTCGCTATTGATTGTCGGCCCCGCTGCAGCCGGAGTGCCGCTCAGTGCTCTGCCGAGTTAAGGGGTCAGCTCCCAGCGGGGAAGGGCGCTAAGTGGATCTCGTCCACATGTCTGTGCTGGTGAAGCGCTGAGGGCTGAGTCCCTCTGTCTCTGGGCCCGGGCCTCCTTCGCCTTCCTTTCCTCTGGCAAACAGCTGGCCAAACAGCTGGCCAGGACTGCGAGGGGCCCGGTGTCCAGCCAGCCGCAGCCTGTCCTCCCCTGCCTCTCCAGTCACACCCGGGCCCTCGGTGACCCAGGTCCTGGCACGGCGTCCACTCCGGGCGCTGTCCGGGCACATGCTGCCCACTGGGACGCCTCGGCTCTCAGCCGGCCTGTGTCTCCTCCTTAGTAGGAGCTTTCTTATCCTTATCATTCTGTTTTAGGGAGCAAGGCTGTGCCCTTGGTAGGTGTTGCAAACGTAGCAACTTCGCACCTGCCAGGCCTCTATATCACAGTAGGGTTAACACTGTGAGATTTATCCACGATTTTTTATGTGTCAGAGAAGCTCAGGGAAGAAACAACACATGAGACATGTGAACACAACATGCAAGCATACAAAGTAAAAGCATATAACATGCTAACATACAATGTAAAAAGAAACGAATGCTCTTTCGATGGTGGCTTCTCCAGGGAGCGGTGTATCTCCTCTCTGAGGATTACTTTTCCTTGTGCCATGAGACTGGGAGTGACCGGAGACGTGTTACTCTAGGCGCAGATCCTGGTGCGGACCCGGTGGCCCTGGTGGCCGAGGAGAGGGTGTCCGTGGGCCTCCACGTGGCCAGCTCGTCCACCACCAGCATCGCGGACATCAGAAGCACGTACAACGAGGTGGACAGCCGCCTGATTGCCAAGGAGGTATGCCTGCTCCTGCCCCTCGCTGCCCTTTGGGAACCGTGACCTCAGGGCTGCCTTCGGCTTTGAATGCTGGAGGAGTGCTGAGCGGTGCTTGTGCCTGTGCGGGTGAGGGCATGCGGAGTGCTCCCACTTCATTAGTCGGTGGCTCCCCACCCAGAACTCCCCCAGCGCTAACTCTTTGATCTGCAATCACTCAGAGGAGGAAGCAGGCGCTCCCCATTCCTCAGCAGAGCAAGAACAAAGAGAATATTTAAAACCTTTCGCACTGAGCCCTGGAGCCTCCTTTCCGGGTGACCTCCCACCACCACTGCTTCTGCACACCCCTGCAGTGTCCCGGGACGCTCTGTCTGTTGTAAGCAGCGACCTTGCAGAGGAGCAGGCAGACCTGCTGGCAGGTGAAGCGCCCTTAGACTGTTTCCCTTTCCCCGCGTGAAGAGCGCCGTGCTCCCTGCTGGTGGCTTGGCTGATGTGTTCCGCCTCCCGCCGTCACAGACGGGCCCCGTCTTTGCTGGCGAGAGGCTCCGAGGGACCCTGCTGGACACGAGGAAGGCCTCACTAGCAGCGCCTTCCGATGGGGGAGGCCAGGGGCCGCTTCCCGGGCTCTGCGAGCCAGCGAGGCAGGTGTGGAGGTGGAGGGCCCGGCAGGAACGTGGCAACGCTGGGTCTGCAGCGCACTCCGCACCGGGTGTGCCAGCCCCTGCCTGCCCCTGGGCTCTCACCATGGGCCTGTGGGACATGCCTGGCACACTGATAACCAAAGCTGGCCCTCGATGAAGCCGCAGCCAGAGAGGCAGGACGGGAGAGCCCGGCCTTGGGTTCAGTGTGTGTCTTCTGAGAGCCAGGTGCTGGCGCTGGGCCAGACCCGGCTCCCGCCCCCCAGAACGTGTCACAGGCCTCTTCCCGCCCTGGAGAGGGAGGTGAGGATTCCCCGTTTCTGCTCTCTCCAGATGAACATCTCATCCCGGGACAACGCCATGCCCGTGCTCCTGCTGAGGAACTGTGCGGGCCACCTCCCCGGCCCCCTCCGGACCATCGGCGCCGTGGCCGTGGGCCACCTGGGTACGTCAGCCTCACCTCCATGGCTGGGGGAAGATGGGCTGGTGTGTGCCAGCTCCTGTGCAGCCTGTCCTAAGCAGCAGGGAGGGCCAGGGCGGTGCCAGGACAGGAGGGAAGCTTTGGGGCTTAACCTTGCCAGGGAGTTGTCTCCACACTGACTGAGGTCAGCGCACCTCATCGCATATAACTGGTAGTAAACGCGGCTGCTCTCCAGCTGGCATCTGTGCACAGCGGAGCCCATGTACGGGGCACAGTGGGCCTCTGTGCCATCAGCATTTAGAGCAATGAATGAGTGCAAGCAGCCAGGCTGCAGAATGGAGGGGCAGAGGTTGTCTGAGGAGCCAGCAGACTCAGAGGGCACGGAGGCATTGCCTCCTCCTGCACTCCAACAGAGACAGAGAGCAGCGAGCTGAAGGACTCAGCACAGATTCTCCCAGTGACTTCAGACTGTCTAAACTCCTGCCCCTCCCCGCTGCCCCCTCCCTCTCCCCCTGTGCACAGTCCCCTCCCCCTCCTCCTGTGCATAGGCCCCTCCCCCCCTGCACAGGCCCCTCCCCCCTCCCTCTGTGCACAGTCCCCTCCCCCTCTCCCTGTGCACAGGCCCCTCCTCCCCTGTGCACAGGCCCCTCCTTCCCCTCCCCCTGTGCACAGGCCCCCCTCCCCCTGTGCACAGTCCCCTCCCCCTCTCCCTGTGCATAGGCCCCTCCCCCCACCCCTGTGCACAGGTCCCTCCCCCCACCCCTATGCACAGGCCCTTCCCCCCACCCCTGTGCACAGGCCCCTCCCCCTCCCCCTGTGCACAGGCCCCTCCTCCCCCTCCCCCTGTGCACAGGCCCCTCCCCCCACCCCTGTGCACAGGCCCCTCCTCTCCCTTCCCCTGTGCACAGGTCCCGCCTCCAAGCCAGTTCCCTGTGCACAGTCTCTTCTGTCCTGAATGGCAGGTGGCATGGCTCTGCCAGCGCGTTGCCCAGCATGCTGCCAGATTCGGCACCGCAGAGAGGCTGTGCCAGTGACGGATGCCCTCTGTCGCCCACAGGGGTCAGGGTGTTCCACTCCAGCCCCGCTGCCAGCAGCCTGGACTTCATTGGCGGGCCTGCCATCCTCCTTGGCCTCATCTCCTTAGCCACAGACGACCACGCCATGTACGCAGCCGTGAAAGTCCTGCACCTGGTCCTCACCAGCAACGTCATGTGTGACCGCAGGATGCAGCACATCTTTGGGTACCAGGTAACCCCACCCTGACCTGAATCTGCCTCCCTGGGGGACAGTCCCTCCACAGTGCCCGCTGGATGGCAGGCCTCCCTCCACGCCTGACACTCCTCCGGGGGCCAGCGCCGGGCTGCGGCCTGCAGACACTCAGTGGACGTGATAGTGACGGGGAGGTCTGTGGTTGTAGTAAAACCCAGGGCTGGGGCTTTCGGTAGGTCCCAGTGTTTTATTACACCGACAGAGGCAGCAGCAGGAATCGTGCCACCTCAGCACTTGGGTATCCGCTGTGGCTGGGGATGTTAGTAACTGTGAGCTCTTCCAACAAGGCACAAGCCCTGCATGCTCTCGTGCGGACATCGAGAAGGATGAGGCAGACAGAACCAAGGCTGTTTTAGGAGACACTGAGGGAGGGGCCGTGCTCGGGCTGCAGTGGTGCTGCCTCACACGCGGGCAGGAGGCCTCACATGCGGGCAGGAGGCCTCACACGCGGGCAGGAGGCAAAGAGCCTTGTGAAGACAGGAAGGCGGGTGGCCGGGCTGGCGTGCTCAGCAGTTGAGCGTCCACTCATGAACCAAGAGGTCACCGGTTCCCTTCCCGGCCAGGGCTCAGGCCCGGGTGGCAGGCTTGCCCCCAGTAGGTGTGCAGGAGGCAGCCAATCAGTTTCTCTCTCATTGGTGATGTTTCTGTCTCTCCCTCTCCCTTCCTCTCTCGAAAAATCAATAAAGACAATTTTTAAAAAGAAAAAGAATGGCGACTGGAGGACCAGAGGAGTGGGTTGCCGGGTTTTAGGAAGAGGCGGGGAGGCCAGGGTCTCTCTGCTCTGCTCACGCTGCCTGAGAGCCAGCAGACACTGTGCTGGGCACCGGGGTGCGGCCGAACCAAACAGGGTCATCTTCTCCCTCCCAGGAACTCAGTGTGTCTTAGTCTGTTCAGGCTGCTATAATGAAACACCATAAACTGTGTGTGTGTGGGGGGGGGGGGGGGGGAAGGAATGGGAAGGAATGGGGAGGCGTGGTTATAAACACCAGACGTTTGTCTCTCTCAGTTCTGGAGGCGGAAAGTCCAAGATCGGTGTGGCAGAGCGTGTCTGGTGAGGGCCTGCCTTGTCCTCACAGGGCGGAGGGTGAGGGGGCACCCGAGGTCTCCTTATAAGGACTCTAATCCCGCTAGAGCCTCCGCTCTCGTGACTTAATCACCCCAAAGGCCGCACCTCCTAACTGCGTCACACTGGGGATTAGGTTACAATATATGAATTCTTTTTTTTTGGGGGGGGGGCATCAACAAGCAATTTATATCACCATCTAACAGGACAGGCAGAAAAGCATTATGAGATGAAGACTTTGCACACTTCATTTGAGTAAAGAACCCGCCAGAGTCAGGACTGAATGTACACAGGGTGGCAGAAGGAGGAAGCCTATGAGCTCTCCTTGTGGCTTAGACAAGAAGCGTTTCAGGCATTTACATCTTCATGGAAGTTCAGAGGGAGGCTGGCAGTGGTGAGGGAGGGGCAATGCCAGGCTCCTGCAAACAAACAAGGTGATTACTATTTTTTGCTCACCTTGCCTCTTTCTACAGAGCCCCCATCCTACCGCATCCCTTCTCCTCCTTCACAACATGAATGCCCAGTGGCACGACCCAGACAGACTGTTTGTGGTCTGTTCGCCCCGAGGCACATGCTCCGTGAGATGACAGCAAGGGCCGGGTCTTAGCTCTCCCGCTTGCTCAGGAGTGGGTCTCATCCTTTTTCAGATGCTTACTCTGTACTTACCTACTGATTTGCTGGGTGGATTTGAGAGCATGAGGAGAGCATATATCTTTCTAATTATTATTTTCATCAAACTTACTACCCACTTCTCAGCCTAGATGACATGCTGCGCTTCATAGGATGGATTTTCATAGCGTGGGAAAGGCTAGCGTTCTAGACTGGCATTAAAAACACGAGCAGCTCCCCGCATGGCTGCAGGGAAAGGACAGGGTGAGCCACTGACAGCAGCGGGTGGAGAGGGAAGGACCAGAGATCTGCCTCCAGGAAGCCTGGGTTTTCATCTCGGAAATGCTGAGTAATCCTGGGGAAGCTTGGAACAGGGAGGTGGAAAGATTTATGCTTTAGAATGACCTTTGACACGAGTGTGGAAGTGGATCAGAGGGGTGAGATTTGAGCAGGAGGCTGAGATAGAACCTGTCTGCTATGCGACTGCATTCCTGACCTGGGAAGACTTGGGTCCTTGTGAGCAGTCGGGAAGACCGCGCAGGAGAACAGCTGGTGCATGTGCCAGAGGGCAGCAAGCAGGCAGGAGGAGGCCCTGGCACCCCCTAGGTTTGAAGTGTGTGTGAGACCAAAAGTAAACTGCCAAGTGGGGTAGATGGCTCGAGCTCAGAGGGACACGCTGAGCTGGGTATAAATGTGAATCATCAATATGATGCTATTTAATCCAAGAAAATGGATGAAATAGTCAAAGAGGAGTAGAGAGAACAGAGAAGGGAACTAAGGAGGAAGAAACAAGGAGCTAACCTTGTAGATTGGAAATATGATTAAAGCCAACAAAGGAGATTTCGAAGAAAGAGGGCAGATACACCAAAGAAAACTGCTGAAGATTCTGAAAGAAAAAAGTATTTGGGGAAAGCCAGTGTATCAAACGAGGCTCAGAATGAAGCAAACTCAGTGCAGATATATTTCCCGGGGGTGGGGGGGTGGGGGGTGGCACCGGGAAGTCATCGGTGATCTTGCTGAGGCAGCTGGGCAGATGCGGGCAGTAGCCCGCTGAAGGGGTGGAGGTGAGGACCCAGGTGAGGAGTGGAGCCGGATGCCTCCACAGAACTTTCAGGAGGTCAGCCTGAGGAGAGGAGCAGCAACGTGGGCCAGTTCTAGAGGATGCGGGTCTCTGTTTTTAAGCAGAGAAATACTAGAGCCTTCTGTTGGTAGACGGAAGTGACAAAGAGGGAGGGGAAGAGGGAGGGAGAAAGGGAGGGAGAGAGAGGATTCAAGAAGAGAAAGAAACAGAGTCCTTGTGAAGGTGAGGAGTGGGCTGGAGGCCAGGCAGGATGGTGCTTGTGAGAGGAAGGAATGGGAAGGAGAGAACGCTCTGTCGGATGGTTCTGTCTTCTCAGCAGAGCATGGGAGTATGATGGGGGGGGGGGGGGCAGGAGGGAAGGGAGGTTGGGGAGGAAGAAGAGAGGAAGGGAGGTTGGGGAGGAAGAAGAGATGAAATCTTTCAGACAGGAGATCCAGCTTGCTAGAGACACAGAGTTAGACTGCGTGCCGCTGGACACTCAACACCAGCAGTGAGACGTGAAGCAGCCGGTGGGGGAGACTTTTCTCAAGCGGCTTCGGCCCCTGATTGTGAGCTGTGGGCAGGAGGGGGTGCCGCCAGGTTTCAGATGTGTCAGCGAACGGACCAGAACAACCTCAGAAGATCCTGAGTGTTTGATGGTCACGTTGTCTGGGTTTGGGCTGCTATGACATGATGCTAGAGACTGGGTAACCACCGACATTCGTTTTCGCTTAGTTCTGGAGGCCAGGAAGTCCAAGGCCAGGGTGCCGGTCTGGTCAGGTGGGGCAAGGGTCCTTTTCTGGATGCGGAGGTGTGTCTGATGGTCCTCATGCGGTGAGAGCAGAGAGGCGAGGTCTCGTGCCTCCTGTAGGGACACGGGCCCCTTTATGAGGCCCCAGGCTCCGACCCCATCTCTTCCTACACCACGAAGGACTCACCTCCAATCGTGACCACACCGCTAGGCGAAGGTCTCAGCACAGACTTTGGGAGAACAGACCTTCCGGCTGTCAGACAAGGACGGCTTCCCAGTGGCACATGGAAAGGGCCTGAGCGGATGGGAAAGGGAGAAGGGTGGACGGGTCCACATCCGGGCGCAAGGCCCCGAGCTGTGGGAGAGCTGAGCTGGAGCCCCAAGGGGAGGGATGGGGGAGAACCGGAGCCAGGGGTGGGCTTCACATCCTGACTCTGTGAGGCGGAGCTCAACAGCAACCAGAGGCTGGGGCTCCGTCGCTCTGGGACCGGGCCATGGGTGCCAGTGCCGCCCGGCACGGTGCCAGGAGCTGCCAGTCCCCAGGGTCTGGCGCAGCTAGTGGCACGTCTGGTGGCTGCAGCCGGAGTGAGGGGTTATCAGCGTTCATGGGGAGATGGTGTCTTCCTGGTGGCCTGGCAGCAGGTATGGACGGCTGTGCGTGTAGGGCCCGGTGAGGCGGAGGAGAAAGAGCCCTGCGTGTCAGGAGGAAGCCAGGAGAGAGCGAGGGTGTTGGGGACAGAGGAAGAGGCGGGGGAGCAGGCCCGTGGAGGGTCGGTCCCAGGAACGGAGAGGCGGGCAGCGGCGGGAAGCAGCGCAGCCGTCGGTGTGTGAGCTGCTCAGGAACAGGCGCTCCAGGCAGGGTGCCAGGTGGCTCAGCAAAGGCGCGGGGCCAGCGGGAAGGAGAGTCTGAGGCACTGGGCGCCAGCTGCTGTGCATTAACCTTCCAGGTGATGGCATTTCTCCTGAGGAAAAAGAGCTCCCTGCTCACCCACCGCGTCTTCCAGCTGATCCTGGCCATGGCGGGCACTGCCGAGCTGGGCTTCGGGACCTCCGCCCGCACCAACCTCGGGGTCTTCCAGCACATCCTCTGCAACTTCCAGGTAAGCGGGAGATGGGGGGGGGGAGGACTGCAGGGGTGTGAGAGGGGGGCCTGCAGGGGTGTGAGAGGGGGGGCCTGCAGGGGTGTGTGAGGGGGGGTCTGCAGGGGTACTCCTGAGGGGGGCCTGCAGGAGTGTGTGAGGGGGGAGCCTGCAGGGGTGTGTGAGGGCGGCCTGGCTTCCTGATGGCCGGATGGCTGTGAAGGGAAGCCCCAAAGGCTTGAGAGCGGAGGGCCAGCTTCACAATGGAGTCCCGCCCCCAGTGGCCCGGGCAAGTCTCCTGGCCTCTCTGAGTTGCAGTTTTTGATGGTGTATAGAGGTCAACTTCTTCCGTAAGGCAGATGCAACCTGGGGAAGGCTTTGGGACTGTAGGGCCGGACTATATACATATGGGGGTCAAAGAGCACGAGCCAATTTCCCTGGTGCCTGCCATTCACAAACGCTCCCTGAGAACGCCGAGGGGCGGAGGGCCGTGAGGCAGCTCAGACAGAGGTGGCAGCCCATGGAGGAAGCGTCCTAGACTGAGTGCACACTGTGCCGGGGGCCAGGTCCCTGGGTGCAGTGATGGCAGGAGGCAGCCCTCCGTGCAGCTGCCCAGCCCGGACACATGCCAGAGGCTCCGTGAGCTGGTGGGAGAGAGGCAGGCCCAGGGCAGGGAGAGCTGGGCTCAGCCTTGCAGCTCAGCCTGGGTGGAGTTTGACATAGGCTCCCAGAGGGACCTCCAGGTCCAGGGCCTATTTGAATACCTAGAGGATGAAAGCAATCAGGGGACTGATAACAAGGGACTTGGGGAGCACCTTCCAGGAGATGAGGCAGAGGGGGAGGGTGGAGATGGCTAAAGACTGAGCCACAGGACATGCATTTTAGTCCATGTGTGCCAGAGTCCATGGAAGTATTTTTAAAACATTTTAAAGTTAGAAATAATATATGCTTATTACAGAACTAGAGGCCCATTGCAGGAAGATTCCTGCGAGAATAGGGCTTCCTAAGGCCTTCTCCGCCACCCGCCTGCTTCCCTCCCTTCTCCGAGCCCTGCCTGTTTCCCACCGCCCCACTTGCTTCTCACTGCTTCGCTCCCTTCTGCAGCTCTTGGCTTTCTTCTATGCTGTAGTCAGTCTTTGTCTAAACATGCAAATTAACTGCTATCTTGGTCGGGTTAATTTGCATACTCACTTCTGATTGGTTTTGTGGGCATAGCAGAGGTACAGTCAATTTGCATGCTTTTCTTTTATTAGATAGGATGCTTTAAATTAGATAAAAGTAGGCAGCAGGTGGGTGTGGGGGGAACTATTTCTGAGACACAGACAACTGTTGTCAAGCTCGAGTGCATGCTTTGTTAAGCTTTCTATTAGTATTGTTACATTTTTTATCTGTTATGATCTTGGTGTGGATATTATTAGTCCTCTCCTTTCCCATTTATCAATTTACTAGAGGGTCCCTCGGCCTTGCTTGCACCCTCTTGCAATCCGGGACCTCTCAGAGGATGTCGAACAGCTGCTTTCATTTCGATCCCCACAGGCCCGACCCAGACAGGAGAGAGCCCTATCTTGTGCATTGAGAGTCTGTCCCCTGGTGGTCAGTGTGTGACATAGCAACTAGTCAACTGGTTGTTCATCTGTTCTGTCGCTTAGGCTTTTGTATGTACAGATTATGGACTTTGCAAGCATGCTCCGAGGTCAGGATGGAATCTGTGCTGTGCCTGACATCATTCCTGTGTTGTCAAACTCCTAGGTTATGTTCATGTATTGTTATAAATGAGCACTGTTATACACAGTATTTTTGTGCATACATTCCCCTCAATTAAACAATTCCTTGGGATTATTAAAGGCTTTATAATAAAATTGTGTATTATTGATAAGTCTGGCTAAATTGCTGATACCCTGAGGTGTTAGTTAGAGAATGACACGTTAGGATTTTACATTAGGTCTATTTCTCAGGGAACAAGACCCCCAGGCAGGGAGATGGTCCGAAGATTATTGTAGAAATCCAGTGGGAGAGTTTGAAACCTGAATTGCCAAAAGGCAGTGAGGTAAAGAGGATCAATGAGGATTATAATTCAAGTGAGAATTGGTTTAGACCGAAGGACAAGGAAAGCACAGTGGGAAGGCTGCTGGGAGCTGGGCATGGAGGAAATTTATAACTCTCGACGTGCCATCAGAAAGAGAACATTCTAATTCATGAACAGAGGCTTCAGGTTAAGAAGTGGGAATGACCGAAAAACAAAACAAAACAGAACCACAAAGTAAAAACAAACTGAATTCCAAGACTGAAAGAGGGAATAATAAAGAGGAGAACAACTGTTTTAATAGGAAGGAAACAGCCAAAGAAAGGATCAAATAGGCCAATAATTAGCTCTGCTAAAATAAACTGCTAAGATTGGCCGGGATAAAAGGCAGGAAGGACGCAAAATAATGCTGGCAAGGTGGAAGGAGGGAGAGCATGGGGATGAGCACGGTGAGGGGAGGAGGGAGAGCCATGGATGAGCAGGGTGAAGGGAAGAGGGAGAGCCATGGATGAGCAGGGTGAGGGGAGGAAGGAGAGCCATGGATGAGCAGGATGAGGGGAGGAGGGAGATCCATGGGATGAGCAGGGTGAGGGGAGGAGGGAGAGCCATAGGATGAGCAGGGTGAGGGAAGGAGGGAGAGCCATGGGATGAGCAGGGTGAAGGGAGACAGAAGAGTAGGGCTGGCACTTTTGTGCCAATAAATTTGAACCCTAGCTCATCTGGACAATCTCCAAGAAAATGTAAGTTTCCAAAACTCACTCAAAAAGAAATTAAAAAAAAAAACTTAAATGGTCCCATAATCATCAAATAAATGGAATCATATTTATTGATTTTTAATCCTCACCTTAGGACATTTTTCCATTGAATTTTAGGGAGAGTGGAAGAGAGAGAAATAACGATGTAGGAGAAACACATTGATTGGTTGCCTTTTGCACCCGCCCTGACCAGGGCCAGGCTGGGAAGGAGCCTGCACCTGAGGTATGTGCCTTTGATCAGAATCAAACCCGGGACCCTTCAGTCTGCAGGCCAACACTTCTATCCACTGAGCCAAACCAGCTAGGGCTGAAGCCACTGCTATACCATCTTATAAACAAAATCCACAAGGAAGGTGGTGGCCGGGTATCCGTAGAGAAGTTCCACCTGTCAGGAAGCAGGCTCTCCCAGCCTTAAAAACTTCCAGGAAACTGAAAAAGGAGCAGTCCCAGGTTATTTTATTGGCTAATCTTGAAGCCTGAGCCGAAAAAAAACAGTATGGGAACCTCAAAAATGAAAGCCAATCTTATTCATTACTGTAGCTCTCCCTGTCCTCAGGAGATTATCAGCAAATGGAGCCCAGCCAGGAGGGCCCTGTGGCCTGGTCTGAGATGAGCACTGGGCTGTGAAGGCTGCAGGCAGAGACCAGAGAGCAAACCCCTCCCAAACCCTGCTTTAGGCCCAGCCACTGGGTCCAGGCATTTCCGCCCGGCCGGCCCAGCAGCTGCCTGTGCAGGACCAAGCTCCCAGGCTGCTCCTGGAACCGCCATGGCACCAGCTGCCCGGGAACCGGCATCCTTGGGTGAGCTGGTGCTTGTTAAGCTGAAGTTGAGAAAGCAAGCAGCCAGTAAACACCAAAGTAAAACAAAATAAACATTTAAGATTATGAGGAGAGTTTGGAGTAAATGAGGGCAGTGATGTGCGTATTGTATTTGGAGGTCACTTGGAGGTGATGACAAACTAATGAAAATAATTAAGGGGTCAGAGGAAGGCGAAGAGTGGAAGGAGGAGGGGAGAGAGGCAGGCTTTTGAAGAGAGAGAAGAAAACAGAGGGAGGGAGTTTCAGGGCTTAGGACAGGAGATGAGTCCGGTTGAAGGCTGAGAGGAGGAAGGAGTGGAAAAGGGGCGGGTACAATCCTAGTGGGAGGATCGGCTATTAACAGCACAAGGCCTTAAAGAGGGTGGGATTGGAGGCAAGAACATCGGTTACAGGAGAAGGGGGATCTGTGATGCCTGGACAGACAGTGGAGGGGGCGGGGAGTTGAGGAGCTGCAGGGACAGGAAGTTGAGGGTAAGCAGGTCTTAGGTTTCCGGTTTTTAAAAGGAACAGGCCGATCACTGCGGCATGTGCCGTGGCCTCAGGTGGGAGAGAGCACAGTGGGACACATGATCCATTTGACATTTAAGAAGATTAGGGGTTGTAAGACAGGAGAAGCAGCAGAAAATTCAACTACTACATCTCCCAACCCGTGTGGTACAATGTAAAGGGATTTCCGAAAGAGCGAGGCAGCGTCGAGGTGCTCTGGCAGCCTGGTACCGTTCCAGTGCCCTGGAAGGGAGAGGGCTGTGCTGTGCGGGGAGAGGAGCAGGGGCTCAGTTCAGAGACTGCCTTTGTGCGTGAAGAACCGCCTGTACAGAGCCCTCCATGTGTGCCTTGAGGTGCCTGTGTCATCATGTGGGGTCCATTACTGACCACAGCCACCTGTGTCATCACGTGAGGCCCATTGCCGACCCACAGCCAATTGTGTCATTGAGAGAGGTCCATTACTGACCCTGTGCATCAGACTCCAGGGTATGGCTGTCGGGGGGCACAGGGAGGAGGCAAGAGGGAGTTAGAGCGGGCTCTGAAGCCAGGCTCTGCCGATGAGTATCTGAGAGTTGGCAGGCAAGTCTCTTAGTATCTCGGAGCCTCAATCTCGCTACTGCAGACATCATTTCTGAGCTTTACCAGGCACTTCTTGCCGCTGCCAGTGGGTGCTTTGTGAGTGTGAGCTCTTTTTGGTGCTAGACGAATGCACTATTATCATCCCACACCTGGCTTGGGGCCTTAGGGAATGACTGTGTTTAGAGATAAGACAGTAGAAGCCTCTAAAGGGATGGAGATGAGACACGGAGGATCGCCACCCACTTGGTCCAGAGGACAGAGAGCAGCTGCCCTTGTTCACTGTGAATGGAAGCAGCCTCAGTGGCAGCTCACCCCAGACCTCCTCTGGCTGTCCGTCAGGTTCTGCTGCGCAGGAGGAGGGCGTGGGCTGGGCTGCAGGTTCTATGGAGAAAGTGTTGCATGCACAAATCAGGAGTTTAGTTACTAGAGGGTAAAACCGGAAAGGGGAGGCCCGTTTTTAATTCCAGTCCTGCCGCTTTCTGGTGTGAATGGACTTGTCACTCTATTAGTCTGTCTTGGCCTCTATTTCCTCGTCTCTGAAGTGGGAACATGGGCATTGGCCTTGTGGATGAGATGAGTCTGGCGTGGGGGCCCCGGGCTGCAGGGCCTGGGCCTGGGCAGACATTGGTTGGCACAGGTATCCTATTGGAGCTAGACCCATCGTGAAGGTCCAGGCAACCGCAGAGAGGAGGAGAAACATAGAGTCTGAGCTTTCCCCGGGCAAAGCCCTCACACAACCCGGAGCTCGGTTCCGATTCCAGACGGGAAACTGGGCTGGTGACTCCAGGCCTCGGAGACCAGGCCCAGGCTCTGCACTGGCGCTGCCGGGGCTGGTCTCGGGCCCTAATCCACCTGCGCTTCTGCTTGTCTTCCAGCTCTGGCTGGGAGCCGCGGACAACGTGGAGCAGTCCCTCTTCTCCCACCTCCTGGAAATCCTCCGCTCGCCCAGGTAGGCTGGGCTTCGGCCCTGGACGCCAGAAGCAAGGGCTTCTCACCAGGAAAGGGACTGAGAGGGCAGGGCTCAGACGGCTCAGGCTTCTGTAACCAAACTGCCGAGGACAAGGGCGAGGACAGGTGCCTTATAAGCAGCAGGAATCTGACTCTCCCAGGCTGGAGGCTGAGTCTAAGCTGGTGGGTCAGGGTCTGGTGGGGACTCCACCTCGGATGTAGAGGTGGCTGCCTTCTCACTGTCCCTGCACAGGGGAGGGGCTGGGAGTTCGCTGGGGTCTCCTTTGTGAGGGCACCAACCCCATCACGAGGCACCACCTTCACGGCCTATCCCCCCCCCCCAAAGCCCACCGCCCAGGGGCAGGCTTCCACATAAGAATTCAGGGGAATAAGGAGCAGACCAGCAGAAAGCCCTAGAGAGTTCGGCTCAGTGGATGGAGCTGTGGCCTCCTCTGAAGGGTCGCACCTTCAATTTCAGTCAAGGACATGTACCTCGGTTATAGGCTCGTTCCCCAGCCCTGAGCAGGGCACGTGTGGGAGGCAACCAAGCGATGTGTCTCTCTCACATGGATGTTTCTCCCCTCTCTTCTACTCTCTCTCCAAAAAAAAAAAAAAAAAAAAAAAAAAAAGTCATCGGGAAAATAACCTGGGGTGAGGACTAACCAAACAACACAGTTAGGGTCACAGCATTCAGTCTGCAGCAGCACCTTCCCCGTGGCTCAGCATGTGGGCATCTGGTCTCCCCTGCTGGTCTGGGGCCTGGAAGCAGTTTCCTGGCTCTGGTGTCAGGGCCGAGTGTGGGCAGCAGAAGGGACACACCTCTCCCACCCGCTCTCTGCTGGTGTCTCCCGCCCATCACCCGGGAGGCAGGCAGTCCGGGCGGCAGTCACCCGGGAGGCAGGCAGTCTGGACACCAGTCACCCGGGAGGCAGGGCAGTCTGGACACCAGTCACCCGGGAGGCAGGGCAGTCTGGACACCAGTCACCCGGGAGGCAGGGCAGTCCGGGTGGCAGTCACCCGGGAGGCAGGCAGTCTGGACACCAGTCACCCAGAGGCAGGGCAGTCACTCAGGAGGCAGGGCAGTCCTGGTGCCAGTCACCCGGGAGGCAGGGCAGTCTGGGCGGCAGTCACCCGGGAGGCAGGCAGTCTGGACACCAGTCACCCGGGAGGCAGGCAGTCTGGACACCAGTCACCCAGAGGCAGGGCAGTCTGGTGCTTTTGGTTGCAGGTGGTGGAACTGCACTCCAGCCAAGTCGGGAAGGAAGGGAGAGGAGGGGAGGGGGGAAGTGGGGAGAGGAATCCATTGCTCACACAGTTGAAGGGGCGAAGCTCCCTGGAGTGGGCCGCTCACACCCCTTTATCCGAGGTCTGCCCCCATCCAGTCTCTGCTTCTTCCTGCTGTGTCCTTTCCCAGCCCCTGTGGCAGTCCCTGCAGGTGCCTCAGGGCCCCTCCTGGCTTGGCACAGAGCGGGAGGGCTGCTAGGTCCCCCACAGGCGGAGAGGAGCAGGACTGCACCCCCAGAGTGGAGGGGGGTTAGGAAGGAGTGGTCCCCAAGAAACCCAGGGGCTGTGACCAGGATAAGGGAGGAGGGAGGCAGGGGAGGCAGTGTCCCCATTGCATTTCACAGGCTCCCGGGGCTGCAGGGGGAGAGGGGAACGAGGCCTGCGGGCATCAGGGAGACAATGCAGAAAGCAGTCAGCCCAGCGCTGCCATGAGGAAGGCAGGAAGATGGAGGGCAGCCCAGACACACTGAACTGGGCTGCCTCTGCCTCTCCTGAGTGTCAGGCACGCACAGTGTGGCAGACGTTAGCGTTAAAAGGCACTTCAAGAAGGAGCCTTCCACCCATTGCACCACCCTCCACCCTTGCTTTCTTTCCCATACCCACTCTCTCTGCACTGGTGTGTTCCAAAAGGTGAGCATGCACCGAGAGCTGTTTTCTAGGGGAGGGGGGATGGGAGTAGAATTTACAGGAAAGAGCATGTGATGAGCTGGAGGAGGGGTCCAGGATGCTTGAATTCTGCCAGGTCCCCTGACACCGGCGAGTACCCACCCCCTGGTGGTTTGGGGCAGCAGGCAGAGCGCCCATCAGCCAGCTCGCCGGGCCTGGGGTGGGGGGCTCTCAGGGTTACACTCTAGTCTTTGCTCCGAGTCTCGGAGACCACCCTCAGGTCCCCCGAGGCTTGGCCTGAAGCCTCAGTAGCTGCCTTTGCAGGCAGTTTCCGGACTGGAGGGCGCGGAGCCTCCTCCCCAGGGACTCGCACTCGCAGACACAGGTTTGATGGCGGCTGGAGGCATTGGAGCCCGAGGGCCACAGGGCATGCGCCTGGAACACTGTTTTAGCAGAAACGCAACCAACTCGGTTCATTCCAGTAATAGCTTTCCTTGCCTCTCTCCTGGCTCGCAGGGAAGGGCCGAGGAGTGCTCGTGTGGCCCACCAGGCACAGCTCATACCCAGGCTCGTCTTCCTCTTCAGTGAGCCGGGCCTTGCCCCCTGCAGGATCCCTGCCATCATCGCCATCCTGGGCTGGCAGCTGAGGGGCCACTTCAGTGTCCAGGACTTGCTCAGGTACTGCACTCAGCTGCCCAGGGCCAGGCAGGGCCGGGCTGATTTACCAGGGACCAGGCTCAGCCCTCCCCTGACCACTCACCCAGCAGCCCTCCCCTCCAGTGCGGGCATGCTCCAGGTTCCTGCTGAGAGAAGGGTGCATGTGCAGGACCCCGGCAGGGCTGTAGGCTCACTCCCCCGTGCTGACACACCTGCTGTGCCAGGAATTCAGGACTTTCCAGGGCACAGCCGTCCTCACCAGCTGAAGACTCAGGGCACCTGCCTTTTGCAGACTTTCCAACAGCCCACTGTGACATTTAACCTCGTCCGTCTTCACCGGCTCTGCTGATCTGGCAGAGCACAAGTTAACTGCTCTGGTGAATCCTGACAAACAGCAGAAGTCTCTGGAAATACTGCATTAACCACAGAATAGTGTGCTTCCCCGAACCCTGCCTTGCAGCCTCATTGGGGTGTCATGTGTGTTCAGCAACATAGCTGAGCCCGTCTGAGCCTGTCCTCCTCTCTGTTAAGGGTCGCGCTGTTCGTGGTGTACACCCTCCCGCCCGCCTCGGTGGACGAGCGGCAGATCTGCGTGGATGGGGCCCTGGAGCCCTCAGGGCCTGGTGAGGAGATGGTCCCGGCCACCAGGCTGAGGGCCACACGTGGTGGGCCAGGCTGTATCGGGGGGCAGGGGGGTGCTGAGACAAAGGAGGGGAAGGCACTGGAGATGAGGGTTGTTCCCAAATAGGAGCTGTGAGGTCATAGCGTTATGATTAGGGTTATACATCCAACTAAACTGCATATTCTCTCTTTCCGGCCTGGATGGTTTCCGGATAACACTCAGTCTCCTGTAGCTCAGCGTAGGGGAGGGGGGGGGGCAGCTGCTGGTCCAGCCATGCCTGCCTCCCCACTGCCCTCTGGCCCCTCTCCAAGGCCCGCTCTCGCACTAGGAAGCCCTGTAGGGCCCATTCCCAGCGCTGCCTGCTTTTGTGTTGCCATGCTGCTCCCTCCGCAGGGATGTCTGCCCTGCCCATGCCAGCCGCACTCACCATCCCAGTCCCTCCGAGCCCCTGGCCCCCTCTGTGCTCCACAGCCGGGCTCCTCTGTGCACAGGCTGGGCTGTGTCTCTGTCTCACCCCGCCGGGTCCAGAGCAGCAGCTGTCCTGTTCCATGTCCCTCTGCTGAAGCCGGTGTGAGGGACCAGGCACTGCCACTCTGTCCTGGCCCTCCAGATGTGCAGCCTGGCTCAGGAGCCTCAAACCCATGTGCCATTTTAATTACTGGAAATGAAGTGCAGTGAAAAAGTGCATCCCTCAGTCACACCAGCCACATTCCCAGGGCTGATCACCACAGGAGGCTGGTGGCTACGGCATGAACCGGGCTGACACAAAAGATTCGCCTGGCCAGCGCTGCTCAATCTAAACAAGTTCTCTCTTCTCCTAGATCTAGACGAAAGTAGGCATTACCATTGCCATTAGCAGTGGAGGAAACTGAGGCTCAGACATTAGGGCCTTAATAGGAGCGTGGGCCAGAATCAAATAGAGGGGGATCTGACACCGCACCTTCCACAGTGTCATCAGTTCTATCGCTACAGCACAGTGTCTGCCCACAGTGGGCTGTGACAGAACCGGCCAACCAAATGGAAAATGAGCCAATCGTCCTTCTTATATGGATACCACTCAGAATCTTCTGTGGGAATATCACCTGTAGAGACAGTGTTAACCTGTTCCTTGGGGCCATAACGACATTCAGAATTTCAGCTCCTTTCCCCACTGGATCTGTAACCTCTTTGTATTCCTCAAGCTCCATTTTTACCACAGCATTGGCGGGCCAAAGCCTTGCCTGGGAGCTGCAGGGGAGCCCGGCCCAAGGTGGAGAGCAGGGTCCTCCTCACCCGCTTACCCACAATGCCTCGCTAGACCTGGCAGTTTAGATGCTCAAGAAACATTGCAGCTCATGATAATTAAAGCATTCCTCTTCTGGAAGATACATGTTAAGGACTGCGTGTGTGTGTGTGTGTGTGTGTGTGTGTGTGTGTGTGTGTGAAGTGTGTGTATGTGTGTGAAAGAAGGGAGATTGAAAACATCTCTAGTTAGAAGCAACTTTAAGAACATTTTCTGAAAATATTTTAAAAGCATTGTATTGAAGTCTAGAATGGAATGACAAAATGTGGAGTCCCCTCCATGGCCTAACATCTGAATGAAATAAGCATTTGGTGACTGTGATGCTTACTGCAGAAATAAGTCTCTCTACATCCGTTCCCTCTCAAATCTAAATGGCCTCTTTTGTAGCTGGAAGCCAAACATCTGGAAAGACAATCTGGCTCAGAAACCAGCTGCTGGAGATGCTGCTCGGTGTAGTATCTTCCTCCCAGCTTCATCTGTCCTCTGAGTAAGTAGCTCCAGGAAGCGCGATTTGGCATTAGGCTGCCTCATCCAGGGTGCGGTGTTAAAACCTTTCGTTAATGAAAAGCTAGTATCTCAGAGTCAGCTGTCTGCAATGTGTTTCCTTCACTAGTCAGAAAGAAAATTGTGTTCTCTCCACCCGATAAAGCAGACCTTGCCCTAAGATATTCCGATGAAAATGTTTAATGGCATAGAAACAGATTTGGTATAATTACAATAAACTTTTGTCACCATTGCTCCAGTGTAAGTGTTATTGTTTTGGCAGTTGTGACAATTACTAATTTTGATGTCCTTTACTTGGCAGACAATAGGATAGAGAAAATGGTTAGCCTAAATAACATCAATCAAGGAAAAGGCTTGCCAAATTCTCCTGCTCTTTACTGTTAGTTACCTTGTTATTTTCCCAAGTTGGAAAAGGAAGTATCTGTCTTCAATCAACTTTCAAAACAATGTATAATCATAACATTCCATCAACGCTCCCACTGATTGCTTTACCTTCAACCATGGAGTCATTTACTTAACGGCTATTTGTTGAGCACCTACTATGTGCCAGACACTGTGCCTTGATGTGAGGACATGGTGCTGAGCATGTCAGCACAGATCCTTGCTATTACCAAATTGACATTTTAGTGTTTATATATGTTTGGGGGAGCGTGGGGGTTCTCCTCAGTAAAACAGCTTTGCAGATAGTGCTTAAAAATTTGCCAGCCAGTAAGTCTTCACATTGCTAGAATCAAAACATGGTAGAACTGAGGAACTTGGAGATGAGCTAGTTAAACCCTTCCTCCCCCTTCTGCTTGAAAAGGAATGTAGTGTAGTGCTTAGCATCTGGGCTCAGATGTTAGACCCCTGGGCTCAAATTCCAAGTAGAAGAGAGACCTCAATGTCTCTCTTCTACTCATGTATATGAACATAAAAATAGTACTTGCTGTAGATGGAAATTAACATGCGGATAGCCTGGAGTGTGGTGCCTAGGATACTGTAAATAGTCCATAAGTGAACTTCTATCATCACCAACACCACCATCATCACCATCACCACCAGCACCACCATCATCCTTATCACCATCATCACCACCACCACCAGCACCACCATCATCTTTATTACCTTCATCACCATCACCACCAACACCAAACTCATCCTCATCATCACCATCACCACCAGCACCACCAGCACCACCATCATCCTTATCACCATCATCACCATCATCACCAAACTCATCCTCATCATCCTTATCACCATCAACACCCAATTCATCCTCATCAACCCCATCACCCTCATTACCATCATCACCATTATCACCATCATCCTTATCATCCTTATCACCATCATTACCATCACCACCAGCACTACTATCATCCTTATCACCTTCATCACCATCACCACCAGCACCAAATTCATCCTCATCACCATCATCATCCTCATCACCATCACTCTCATCACTATCACTATCACCCTCACACTCACTCTCATCACCATCACCACACCATCATCCTCACCCTCATCCTCATCACCATCACCATCACCATCACCCATCATTGAGGAAATAACCAGAGCACACCAAGAGTTCTGCCAAAGTCCTGCACTTAGTTAATTCAGAGACGGGGCTAGAAGACAGAACAGTCTGTTGATTCCTAGCCCAGTGGCCACGACCTCACCATGCCTAGTCTGGAAGCTGATGCTGAAAACACTATCTGGGACAGGCAGACCTTCCCTGGCTCCCAGGAGGCCAGGTCTTTAGCTGAGCCATTGCCTCCAAGGGTTGCTGCCCATCTTCCTGCTCTCCAGTTCCTTCTAATAAGTCTGTATTAGCCAGACCCATCATTTTAAAATTCACTTTTGGATCTGACAGTAAATCATGTAAATTTTTTTTTACCTAAACTGATAAAGATGCAGACACTTTGGACCATTCTGTTTAGATTAGTTTTGACCAGTGTATTTCAAAAAGGAGGTATATAACCATTATGTGTTTTATATGACTATCAGAGGCCCAGTGCACGGATTCGTGCACATTGAAAGGAAATGAATTAGAAGATGGCTGGCAGGACAGGACTGGGTGAGATGGGCCAGACACATCCTGAAGCCAACCTCGCACAGTCCCTCCCCAGCCAGCTGCCCCTGGGGTGGTGCTGGGACTTGTAGGGTGTCTGCAGAGTGAGCCAGGTCCCTCCCGCAGGTGGGGTCCCTCAGCCTGGCCTGTAGATATCAGGTCCAAACTGGCAGTCCAACATTCCCTGAGGGCTCCTGGAGTGTGAGAGGGCACTCTGTAAAGTTGCTGTCGCTTGGCAGCTCCCGTGTTGAGTGTCCGTCCGCTGGTGGTCAATGCACATCATACCTACTGGTCAGCCCTAAGCAGCAGCTTGCCTGAGCCTTGGGCTGGCCCACTATTGGCAGCTTGCCTGAGCCTCGGGCCAGCCCTGGGCAGCAGCAGTAGCCATTCGCTCCCCCAATGCACCTCCTAGTCAAGTCCCTGCCCACCTGCATGTGCCTTGCAGCTCATGCAGCCCCGCCCACCCACACACAAGCCTCCTGGTGATTTCTCGTTGTGGCATAAAAGCGTGATGGCGTGAGGGCGTGATGACCACATAGGCTGCTATTAGCATAGATAGTGCTGGATTGGAAGGGTGGCCATCAGACACTGCATGAGTGTGAGTATCAGTGGAGCACAGCTCCCAACGGACCTGCAGGCTTCACATCTACTGATGCCTAGTTGCCAATTGCTTTGAAAACCTTTGGCCAACTTACATTTCAGCCATTCACAGACACATTCAACCACTGGGCAGCAACTTGGCCAGCATTTTATCTGCATTCATTTAAAATGCAGTCTGTGTCTTGCCCGGTGGTATTGAGATGTTCCCCCTAATCTGATGTTATTCATCACCTCTGAGCATGCCGTTTGCATCTGTTGGTCTCCTAGGACAAAGGAGGAGGTGTTCCTGAGCCTGGGGCCCGGCTGGTTTCTGCTGCTCCTGCAGGGCCACCTGCACCCCAGCACCAATGTGCTGGGCCTGAAGCTGCTGCTGCACTTCCTGTCCAGCCCTTCCCTGTGCAGGCGCTTTAAGGACGGCCTACCTGCGGGGTCCTGGGTGGAGCGCTGCGCAGAAGGCTCGGACATCCTGATGGGTGCGCATGGCAGGAATCGGGAAAGGCTCCTTGTGGAGTGTTTTCGGGGCCCCTATGTGACAGCGTGCATTTCTCTCGGCATTTCTGGGGGGAGTGAGTGGCAGGGGATTTCCTCGTATGCCAGTCCCCACCGTGCCCAGAAGCAACTGCAGTTGTTCTCAGTGAGATTGTGTGCCCTTCCCATCTGTAGATAACCTGAAGAGCCATCCGCCCGCACCCGACCAGAGCCCCTGCCTGCTTCCCGGATTCCGGGTCTTGAACGACTTGCTGGCCCACCATGTTCACATTCCGGACATCTACCTCATCGTGTCCGCCTTCTTCCTCCAGACACCGCTCACAGAGCTGACAGCTGGGCCCAAAGTAGGTTCTTAGGGCCCAGGGATGAAGTGGCACGCTGGGTTTTCTGCTGCCACATGACCAAGGCAGTTCCCTCAGGCTCTCCATTAGCTCACTCCAACTCTTTCCTCTTCCGCTGTCCTGACCCACTTCTCTCTCTGGTGTCCACACCCTTGGCTGGCTCTTCAAATACCCTTGACCTCCTCCACCTCTGCCCTGACTTCTAACAGCTCTCTGTTCTTATCAGTCCACTGGGGCGCAGCTAGAGAAATCATGATGGAGGTGGGGAGGGGGAGACGATGGCTGCCACCACAGATCAGAGCCTCAGTCATGCCCTCCCTGAGGGATGCCCTGGCTCTCCCCTGTGTTCAAACACAAACCTTCAAGGCACTAGGTCTCCTGCCCCACAGCTGCCCAGCTTCCTCCCTGCCAGCCCTCATGCTGGGACCCTCCCAAGTCACCTCCAAGCACAGCAGCTGCCTTGTGTCTGCCCAGCCTGTGCCTTTGGTGAGCTCGCCCTCCCATATCACTGCCTCGCCCCCTCCAGGGGAGCCATCCTGCCGGGGCCTCGGCATCCTTTGCCTTATGTGCACGGACACATTGACATGCTGCCTCTCTCCAGGCACTGAGCACCTGGACCACAGGCCCACCTGTTACTCACGGTCTTGGGCACCCGGCAAACATCAGCATCCGAAATTGTCTCTTAGTCTTAACCGAGATGAGTTGAACTGCCCTGAGTTGACATGGGATGCGGCCATAGCTTTGCAAACAAAGGATCAAAATCTTGATGTATAATAACAGCATCCCAAAGCCCACTTCCAAAGCCAGGTCTGCATGCTGTGGCAAGGTCACCAACCCTGCCTGTCACCGCTCCAAGATGTGTCCGGGGAACAAACGCTGCCGGGTGGCAGGAGCCATGGGAGACATTTCACACATCTGCCTCACCTGACACTTATGACAACCCCATGGGGCTGATAGTGCAATTTTTATCTCACAGAGAGGGAAACTAAGGTGCAAGAGCCAGAACAGCTGGCTAAGCCCAGTCAAAGAGGTGGAGTCAGGCCTGCTTGCAAGGATCCTGGCCTTCCCCTGAGCTGGAGCCCTCACGGTCTCATTGCAAACAATCAGGGACCTTAACTGGACAATGTTTGTGGTCAGACTGGAAGAGCTGAGCTCGGCACAAGTTGCCGGCGGGGTCTTCAGTACCTTCTTGAACATGCGTGTTTCCCTCATGCACGGAGTGGCTGAGATTCCCCCAGCGGCTGCCGCCCAGGGGTTTGCTGTCCTGCCTTCCCAAACGGGGCCCTGACGGGCGTCTCTGCAGCCTGCCTCCTCTTCCAGGACAGCCTGGACGCCCAGCTGCAGGGGCTCCTGCAGGCGCACCGTGCAGAGGAAGTCCTCCAGGCCGGGCTGTGCGTGGAGGGGGCTCTGCTGCTCCTGAGGATGCTGAAGGCCACCATGAGCCGGGTGAGTCCCCCACATGCCATGACCGGGGGAGGGGAGAGGGGGAAGACAAGGTTGGAGGTGTCACCACGACTTTCCCAGCAGTGTCCAAGAATGCCAGCCATTGGCAGGTGTTATTCAGAATCCTCGATAGAAGAGCAAAGCGGCTCCTGGGATAACTCAGGTGCACAATGGGAACCAGCCGAAATGTTTCAATGCAGAGTAGCCACTCTGGCCAAACGCCTTCTATTTTCCACTTGCTTGGGCATCTGATTTCACGGGGAATGTATGCACTCCTCAAAGCGAGCATTTCTGAGTAATGTTTTCCGTCAGGAGCTGCGGGACCCTGTGGAGGGGAGACGGGCCTCTCCCGTCCAGGAGTCACCTGTCTGCCAGGCCTCCTCACCTGCAGCCACCTGAGCCCAGAGGCAGGTGCCTGGAGAGCCTTCAGGCCACCCAGGGCCACCGAGGAGGGAGGAGGGGTTATTTTAGACATGAAGGCAACTGTCAGCTTTTGATACTAAACTACACTAGCTTTATTTTAAAACTTTTTTACATTTAAGAATATGTTAAATTCATAGTTTTTATTTTATTTAAATTGTTTCTATGAAACTTCTTGTGCCTGACTTTTTGTTGTTGTTGTTGTTGTTGTTGTTAACTTTTTTAGGCTTTTAAATGTCTCCTTGACCTAGTTTGTGTAATTTATAATATTGTCAAATCTTCACAATTATTTAATTTGCACAAATGATCTCTTAATTTATTTAATTTTTGTGGTTACTTCCCTTTTCTTACTCTTAATTTATGAGTTCATACTGTCTTCTGCCCCACCCCGCCCGTAAGGCCTGTGGGTTTATTTAAAGAGCCAATCAACCTCTTGACTTTTTTCTGGCTAGCTCTAAGAGTTTGATGTTCATTTTCTGGTTGTTTTCTGGAGTTTCTGTGCTTGCAGCTTTAAAGACCTTCAATTCATCTTTTTCGGTGCCCACATGGTTGAACTTTCTCTCATTGTTGCCCATCTCGGTTTGTTTTGTCCTCGTCAGAGCATGCGATCTGCACACTTCCCATTATTGGGAGCTATTCATAGTTCCACTGCAGTCCTAATGCTACAACTAATCGTAGTGCCTGGAAAGATGTATTTTCTGTTTACAGCATTAGGAATCTGTTATCTTTCTAACCAATTAGTTTCATTTTTTAAAAAGCAAACAAAAGAATTAGCATGAAAGCATTTAAAATAAAGAAAATACATACATGCTGAGAGAAGTAAAAAACTGAGACCAAAGATTCACATTATAATAGCAAGCATAAAATGGGTCCCTGGTGAGTGACTGGAGGGACTCTCAGATTGGTCAGAAAACAAGACCCACTGTCTGAGATCTAACACACATGTGACAGAGGCAAAGTCACTCCCAGGCCCTTTGGTCCAGTGATGATGTCTGTCGTTAGGCCCTCATGTGCCCAGTACGTAGACAAGCACCAAAATATACAGGGCAGAAACAGAAGGGTAGAAGGAAAGACCAGAAACTTAATGTAGAAAATAGCTCTGACATCTCTTTCTCAAAGTTCATTTTCTCTTTTTCTATATTATTGTTTGTTCAGAACTTTACTTGATTTGACATCAGACCCCTGTTCATTGGCAACTAACCCACCACAGAGTAGTCTACCTCTTGATGAATGTGATAGGAATGGAATCATAGAGTATGCTTTCTTTGCATCTGGCTTCATTCACTCATCCTTATGTTTGTGGGATTCACTCATGATGTTGTATGTGTCAGTAATTCGTTCTTGTTTATTATTGAATAGTATTTTATTGTGATAATCGACCACAATTTATTTATCTACTAGAGGCCCAGTGCATGAAATTCCTGCACTGGAGGGAGTGTCCCTCAACTCAGCCTGCACTCTCTCCAATCTGAGACATCCCTCTCACAATCCGGGACTGCTGGTTCCCAATTGCTTGCTTGCCTGCCTGCCTGCCTGATTGTCGCCTGACTCCTTCCCTGCTGGCCTGGTTGTACCCAACTGCCCTCCCCTGCAGTCCTGGTTACCCCCAACTGCCCTTCCCTGCTGGCCTAATCATCCACAACTGCCCTCCCTGTCGGCCATCTTGTGGCAGCCATTTTGTGACACCATGGGGGCACCCATCTTATGTGAGGGTGTGATGGTCAATTTGCATATTACCTCTTTATTATATAGGATTCTTGTAGCTTTTTTTCCATTGGTAATAGGAATAAAGCTGCTTTGTACATATCTTTGGGCAGATATAACTATTTTTTCTGTTAGAAATATGCCCAGGAGTGACACTGTGGTCCATCAGTTGTACACATGACTTAACGTAGCATATAGCAACAAATAGTTCTCCAATGTGAAGTGCCAACGGCACTCTCACCAGCTGTTACGCTAGTTGGAAGGTTCCAGTTGCTCCACGTCTCTTCCAATGGATTGCATTGCTGGTCTTTGAGATGGTTGGCAGTCACCACGTGCAACAATCCTTTGAAACAGCGTCATCCCCATTGTCAAATGTAGAAACTAGCAGTGAGGTTGGCTCATGCAGGCAGGGTCGTGGAGCACGGGCACGTGACAGTGTCCAGCCTTAGCCCTACAGTCCAGGTCATTGCATTGCCTGAGAACCTTCATGGGTCCTGGCTGTTCAACACATAAAATCCAAGTTTCTTTTCTGAAAATTCAAGTCCTCTCCTAGCTGCTTCTGCTTATCCTGTGCTTGTCATTGGGAAGTAACCCTGAGGCACCAAATCTCTCATTCAATCCTCACAACAACCTCAGCAATAGCTCACATTACAATCCTTGTTTTGCAGAGTGGGGACTGGAGGTGCAGGGGGAAGGGACTGGGCCAAAGCTACACTGTCAGTCAGAGGCAGAGGCAGGATTTGAACCAGAAACTAACTTCAGAAACCACTCTCCAAATCCTATTCTCTGGTATTCCTCTGGAAAACAATATTGTGCTCTTAGGACCTGGTGGAGGAGCTGGCGCGGGGGTCCCAGGAGAGTTTTTCTCTGCTGCCTGCTCAGCCCATACCAAGCCCTTGCAAATCCGGTTTAAAATCGGATTTCTGGCTACCCCGTGCACATTGCCTTTCTCTCTATAAGTAGGCTGTGTGTTCTAGTATGAGGCTCAGTCCCAGACACTCGGTATCTACTTATTAAATAGGATGTCTGGTGCATGCACACGGGCCAGGTCTAGAGGCAGCTGCTGGGAAATGAGGCAGCCATGAATGGGAGGGGCGGGCTGAGCGACTGGCCAGAGGAGGACCCGACCTCCATTAAACGCAGTCACAGGAGTAGGCTGAGCACCCGCCATCTGCTTGTTGGCATGGCTCTGTGGGGTGGGTCAGTTTTCAAGCTGCAGACTGTCCATCACGCTGGGGCAGGGCCTGAGGCAGCAGCTGGGCACTGTGGGGCTGAAGCCAATCACCAGACAGAGTGACTTGGCATAGCCGGTTAAGGGAGCTGAGCTCGAGGGACACTCGTGTGCAGCCAGGATGGAGACTCAGCCTTGTGACTGAGGCCAGGTTACAGTGGGGGTGGGGAGAGGTCCCCAGGTCCCCCAGGGGAATGGGTGTCGGCTCAGTAGGTGACTCATTCCAGATCCCTGGCTGGGGAGGGGGCTCCTCAAGTTCTGCCAGTTGTGGGGGCACATAAGCCAAGGCAGGGCCTGGCACTGGGAGCAGAGAGCTGGGCTCTGAAAGGCTGAGGCAGACCCTGATTTGCACGTTCCCTGAGCACCAAGGCCACATCGAGGCCTTAGAGGCCATTGGGCAGACGGGAAAGAGTGGAAGGGCTACAGCCCGACGCCTGGAGGCAGGCAGCGCCCGGCTCGGCTCCTTACCCACCCAGCTCCTTGGCACACTATTTGACTGCTCTGCCTGTCTCCCCATCCAGGAAATAGGGGCAAATGCAGGCCTGCCTCAGGGGTGTGAGAGGTGGAAAGAGCATGTGTGTGAAGGCATGGACCGATGTCTGTGCATGTGACTCCCACCCCAGGCGATGATGCCCAGGGCCCCATGCCAGTCCAGTCGCCTTGCCGTGAGGTGTCTGGCTGAGAGTCTCAGAGAGCCGGTCTCCTAACCCTCCGGCTCCCACACACGCCTCACCCGGTGCCCTCTCAGCCCTCGACAGGCCTTGACAGCGGTGCCGGGGAGCACCCGTTCCCGGCCAGCGTGCTGCGGTTCCTGGGCCTGGTGCACGGTGCCTACCCGCAGGACCCCGCCTGGCAGGCCCCAGAGTTCCTCCAGACCTTGGCCGTCGTCACCTTCCCGTTGGGAACCAACAAGGTAGGGCACGCTGCTCCCCAGCCACAGTGAAGTCAGGGGCAAAGGGTGTCATCCCTCCAGAGAAAGGGCAGGATTCCTCCACCCCAAACGAAAGGCATCTCAGGCAATGTGGCCGGAAGGCAAGGCAGCAGCTTCCTTCTCAGCTGGGGTGCAGCTGTCAGGGATCCCCTCAGCTGATGGCAGATCAAGTCCCATTCTCTATAGACTGCCCTCCCACTGATAATGCAACACAACACAGACCCAGTGGGTGGTGTGGGTGGACCGGAGGACGGTTCTCCTCTGCTTTTGTCCTCAGGGCCTTCCTCCAGTCTGCAGTGACTCAGGACTCCTTGCAGTCAGGGTGGTGGGGCAGAAGGCTGGCGGGGTCAGAACGAGGTGTGAGTATGGGGGTAGGAAATGCTATGGGGAGAGATGTGAGTAAGTCTGAGGCAGAGCCAGGCCCAGGGACACAGTGGCCTGAGCGAGTCTGGGAGCCGAGAGGAGCGGGTGACAACGGGTGTGAAGGGCAGAAGCCTGCGGTCACCCTCCTTGACGGTGCAGGGAGCGGAGATGGACAGGGAGCAGGAGCTAGTGACGCAGTCTGCAAGGCTGTCACCGCAGCTAGGGGAGCGGCTGCAGGCTGGAGGTGAGGAGGGGTAGACGCACAGTGCGGGCCGGCAGTGTTTGCTAAAGGCCAGGCGAGGGGGCGAACATGCTCCTTTGGCTCATCTTTTCTAGAAGTGCATGCACCCCGACAGCCTCCATCCACTGGGCACCCACCAGTCCTGCGCCTGGCGCTTCCCATCACACTTTTCACTCTGTTGGCAGCCTGCCTGGCGGTGTGTGCTAGTTGGGGCAGGGGCAGGCCTGGCGGTGTGTGCTAGTTGGGGCAGGGGCAGGGGCGGGGGCGCAGGTGAGAGTCACAGCAGGGATGCTGCCCTGCCGCTGCCAGCGTCCTGTGGGTTCAGTGGGGGCTTAGGACCTAGCCTAGCCTACAAACCATCGAGAGTGAAAATATTACAGTGCCTTGATGACCAAGTGATGAGCCAAGATTTAACCCTCGCCCATCTCTTCCCAAGGCCCCTTCCCTACCTTCAACACTCTCACCATAAGCCCATACCCTTTCTATCACCATCAGTTTAAAATCAAACCAAATGGCTGAATAAAATTCAGGAGTAATTTGTTTTAATAAAAGACTAAATATAAAGACTAGATTTGCAAAAAGATAGAATGGCTTGTTGGGTTAATATCAGCTAAAGTAATTCCCTAGAAAAGTAAGAACAGAGAAGAAGATGCAGTGGAGGGGTGGGGGCAGGGAGGAAGAACGGCCCGCAGGCTGACCCTCACCATCTCCCAACCAGGTCCCCGGGAGGTGGCCAGAGCCCTCAAGTGCTGACATGTTTGGCCTAAATGTCCTCCTCACCCCGACCCAGTGGCCGGGCTCACCATTTGCTGAGTTGAGGTTCCAATGGCTGCCTCTCCCTCCCTTGTTCAGGGTCTCTGCCTTGGGGCGGGTCTGGCCCAAAGTCACTTCCCGGCCGAGCCCCTGGCTCCACTTCCAACACACGTGTCCCCGCAGCTCTTTGCTTGTCCTGGTTCTATGTCTACTCCAGGCCTTTGTGCACAGAAGCTGTGGCAGATCCACTTCGCACAGGAAGCTGGTGGCCAGAGAATGCAGCTTGCTGTGAATTTATACAGCATCTTCCCCATTGAGGACGCATGGAGCTAATTAATGTGGCCACCGCCTCCCTAGGTGCCATTAAACCCATTTTATGGCTTCATTAGGAGTGGCCACATTAATTTTATGAGTGTGCGGAGGGAGGGGCCAGCAGATGATCGCTCTTGGAATGTCACTGGGGGAGCTGGAGGTGCCTGGCCGTGTGTCCTTGGGCACGTCATTCGCCTCCCAGAATCTCTGTTTCCAATGTGGCTGGGCTAATGGTGCCTGCTTCCTTTATCTCCCTGCATTTCTATAAATAAAAATGAGCATGTGAAGGCTGAGGTGTCGCAGGGACTGGAAGGCCAGGACCTGCTGAAGCTGAGCACCTGTTTCCTGGAGGCTTCTCCTGTCACCATCACCACAGCCTGGCTGCAGGACAGGGCCCAAGCGGTGGGCCTAGCTGGTGGCCACGTACAGGGCAGGCACTGTGGCCTGCACGGCACTCCCATTGGAGCTCATCTGTGTGGTGTCCCTTTCATATCTCCACTTGCTGCTGAGAGCTGCGGCTCTGATGAGGAGGGACTTGCCCAGGACACAGTGTGGCTTCTCTGCTGAGCCCTCAGGCCATGCTAGCTCCACCCTCTACTTCTCTCCACGCCTTCCGCCTCCCTGGGGTTCAGGGACAAAGCAGGCACCCTATGCACCATGAGACTGGGCAAGTCACCTACTTCCGTGGCTCCTCCATTTCCTTGCATGTTAAGGGATTTGATCAGCATGTCACCCCAGCACCCCTCAGCAGCAGACAGGAAAGCACTTTTTGGGAGTGCGTGCCACTCTCACTGAGGTTCTCTTGTCTTTGAGGGGGTTACCGCTGAGTCCGCCCAGAATACCAGCAGCCCTGGGGCCAAGGCGGAAGGTGACGGCATTGTGGAGGGTCTACAGGCTCCCGCCAAGTCCCACCCCACACGAAAGCAGCTGAGGGTATTCCTGCAGCTCCTCCTGAGGGAGCTCCTGCTTGCAGCTCCCAGCCCCAAGCAGTGGCTGCCGCTGGAAGTGCTGCTGGAGGTGAGTGCACAGGGGACTGCGCTGGGAGGCCCAGCACCGCGAGGGGACGTGCAGGGAGCCCGAAGGACTGACCCCTTGCGCCAGCTGGCTCGTAGTCAAACAGCTCCTGGGAAATAGCACTGTCGTGGGAGGGGGTCCTCCAGGTCCCGCAGGCCCTGGCAGAGCAGGAGAGCGAGTGAATAGAAGACTGAGGGCAGGTCTCACAGGGTCCTGGCAGCAGAGCTGGTGCAGGGATTGCATAGTAGTGACTTCTCAGGGGAGGCAGAGAAGGAATCCAAAGAGGACGAGGGAGAAGCTAGCCAGAAAATGGGCTCAGCACAGCCTGGCCCGAGGGGAGCACTGGTGTGCTATCTGCATCCCAGAGGTGGCCCCATCTTGAGGCACCTGCCCGGTGGTCATTGTTTGTGGGCCACCTAACTTATCTTCTCACTTCAAGAGGTGGGCATCGCCTCCCCTCCCGGGTGAGCCAACTTGGCCAGCAGAAGGCAGTGCCTTGGAGAAGGGGCAGTGGTGAGCTGTTGGCAGCCCACACTCCCAGCAGCTGTGACATTAGCATATAAGCCACGCAAGGGGACTCAGTGGGCACTGAGTGGACATGATGGCCGGGTGGCCACTGTCTGAGTTCTGGGTGTGATTCCAGGCTTCTCCAGACAATGCCACCAGCCAACAGAAGCGAGACTTCCAGTCTGAGGTCCTGCTCTCCACCATGGAGATATTTCACACGATGAGCGGAGGTGACATGTCGGGGCTCAGAGGTGAGTGGGGTGACTTGCTCCTCACTGCTATGACACAGCTGCTGTCAGCTGAGCAGGAGAGCCAGCACACCCAGCCACTGCCCCATCCTAGAGGAGGCCTGGGTCCTCGTGCTGCAGGACACGGAGGAGCGCGGGAGATGCTCTCGGCCCATCCGCAGTAAGAGCTCACTGGTCCTGCCTGGGGCCCCGGGAGCGCATGCTTACTTCTCTCCATGACATCTCCACCACCGGTGAGCCACCGAGGCAGAAAGGCCTGCTGTCCTCCGAGCTAACACCACTTCTCCTCCACCTTCAGTGGAATTGTGTCCTTGTCCCATAAGGGAAGGTGAGATGTCAGCTGGAGTTCAGCTCCTCCGCGCAGCATCTTTGCACCTGTGCCTGGGCACAGCAAGTGTTCCTTCAACAAGTGAGCCCGGATGAAGACGCTGCACTGCCCCTAAGAAGTTCAGGTTGATGCTTCACTAGTTCCAGGGCAGCTGCCCCTTCCAGATGAGGTTAAACATAGTCCTTTCTGTGGTCTCAGCCATGGATTCCTCAGGGACACTCATCTCTGGACTCCTCCTCGCCTCACAGCACCGACACCCTAGCTACTGGCCTTTCTCCTGGAGCATCTGCAGGGGGGCAGAGGAGGGGTGGAAGGTGTGAGCTTGGGAGTCCCGGCTCTGCTCTTGGCTGTCCCTGGCTGTGGTGTGACTGCGGACAGGTGCCTGAGTCTGTGAGTGAGGACAGCCGTCGAGGCTGACTCAGAGGGTTGTTGTTCGGATTAGCTGAGATCAGAGCATTCACATCTGAGAACAGTGCCTGGCATGTTGGTGAGCATGGACAGTGACCCACATTACAGCCTTGTCCCTGCCTGATGCAGCCGGGCCTGGGTCACCACACAGTCTTCCTATTTGCCTTATATCTCCATCTCCCCCCACCCTCATTCCAAACGCCGCTGGAAGAGGCAGTGCCCCACATTTGCTTCTTCTCCACTGGGTTATATCACTGACTGCATTGCTCAAGGCCAATTTATTTGATTAGATGGGTCTTCATTGGCACCTGTGGGTCAGACCCCTCTTCAGAGCCAGGCGTACACAGAGAGCTGCAGTGGGTGTGAAGAGTGAGTGAGATGGAGGTTGTTACCTGGACGAAGGGGAGGCTGTTGTGGAAAGAAGGCCACTTAGACTCCCATGGTGTCTCAGACTCTGTCTGTCTCTTCACCTGACCTTAGGCGATAAGGAGCCTCAGCCAAACACAGAAGCTGCTGCTGTTCCTTTCCTCACGATCATCACCCATTTCACCCAGAAGCTGGTAGAGAAGCTGTACAGTGGAGTGTTCTCAGCAGACCCCAGACACATCCTTCTCTTCATCACGGAACACATCATGGTGGTAAGAACCCTGCTGGTCATAGTGGTGTGGCAGCGGCCGACTGAGCGTCTGTCTGACATGCTGCTGCTATACAGGTGGTCCAGATGGACCCGTGTCCTCCCTGGAAATGGGAGCTGAGATGGGTGGGAGGAAGGAGCAGGGCAGTGCCTGGTGGCCGAGGGGGTTTTGCCGGGCTCTCACTCAGGCCACCTGAGATCCATGTCAGTGGTCAGAGCCATGGTCCCTTATGCTGACACCTGAGCTCTGTCCCCGTCTAGTCTCTATTATGACTGATAGTTTCACCTTAATTGTTGTTATTCTTCATCAACAAAGAAAAATCTTCATATTTCAAAGGCCCATTTCATCTTCTGCTTTAGCATCATGTTTGGGCCTTCCTGAAATCGAGGCAAGAGTCTTTTTTTACCTAGCCCTGCTTTGCTTGCACATGTGCTCTCTCTCAGATAGATCCACACACACACCCACACATGCAAATGCATGCTGGAGGTGCACCCATAGGTGTGTGTGTGTACCTGTGCCCAGCTTCTTTACACATAGGCTCATACAACCTCAACAATCTAGAGTTGAACTGTTTTGGGTCCTTTTCATTCCTTTCTGGAAACCTTTCCATCACATGGCCATTCGCTCTTTCCTTGAGGGTCTCGCTTGAGGAGCTCACTGCGGTCCAAGGTGGTCCCAGCCAGTAGGACGCCTGCGATGGTCAGGAAGCACGTTCTCTTACTCGGCCCCTCCCTGGGTGTGTCCTCTGCCGCAGAACCCGGGAGAGACCCTCCTTCCCTCACGCCTCCTGGGAGCGTGCAGTTTCCAGCCCTGGCACCCCTCTGTCTGTGAGCTGCTAGACCCAGGACTGCTCCTGGGCGACAGCCAGGCTGGGGCGCAGCGCCAGGCCAGGCTGAAAGGGATGTGCCCAGAGCCCCTTTCAAGAATAACTCTTAAGAGAGACGTAGCCCTGCTGGCTCTGAGAAGGTTAAAATCAGGTCCTTGGGAAGTTGTGTTCCCGCCATCGTTCAGGTGCTTTAGCAAAGCCACGGCCTGGCTCAGCAGCCAGCAGTGACGCCTCATGTTCCCGAGGCTGAGGATCAAGGGCAGCAGGTCTCCTGTCTGCCCACGGCCCCATTCCTGGTTTGCAGTGGCCATCTTCGTATGTCCTCACATCTTCCTGTCCTTATGGGAATCCCATCCAAGGCTGTAGCCTCCTGGCCGGGTCACTTCCCCAAGACCTCAGCTCTAATACCATCCCCTGGGGATTAGAGTTCAACATAAGAAGTTTGGGGGGCACACCAACAGTGAGCCCGCGGCAGCCGCCAGCGGTGCAAGCACACGCTCAGAGCTCACACTGAGAACGGGTGCCCGCTGGGGCTTTGTGCCTCCAGCGTGTCAGGCTGAGGACTCTCAGTTCCCTCCACACTTGCCTTCCTTCTCTCCTGGTGGCAGCACTCGTTACTCTTAACTTCCTTTTGAAAGATGTGACCAGTCTGAGACGCAGAAGACAATGATAAGAATATTAATCTCAAATTACAGCAGATTTAAATAAAACTAACCTCATTAGTATAAATAATCGCAGTGACCATAAAATTCTAAGAGAGCAATCTATAGCTAATAAATGACCTTTCTAATAGCCTGGAGGCTTTGCACCTGTTTTTTTGTTTTATGGATTCTTTTTGATGAAGCCAAGTAAATGGATGGATGGACCAATTATGTTAAGGCTACAAACCAGAAACCCCTGCCTCCACACCCAAGTTTCCCATGTGCTAAAGCTCACTGGACCCATCTCCTTTGTGGCTCAGAGAGGGTTAAGTGCCTGGTGTGAGATCTATCCTTGCTGACCAGGTAGCCTCTTTGACCCTGAGCCTTGTTATCTCTACAGTGGGCTAATCTTAGTTCTTACTTCATCATTCTGCTAGGAGATTTAAAGGAGGCGATGTGTGGAACCCCGTGCAGAGATGCTTAGCAGGGTGCCTGGCATACTGTAAACATGCTGCACATGGTAACTCATACTCACAGTTAGTGACATGTTTTAATTAGACACGATTAATGGCATGTTCTAATACACTGAGAACCAACCTTCTTACCTATGTTTCAGAAATCCCTGGTCCCCTCCCTATTTCCCATAATATGACTGTGGTAAACTTTAACATTTTTTAAAATTTATTGACTTCAGAGAGAAAGGGAGAGGGAGAGAGAGATAGAAATATCAATGATGAGAGAGAATCATTGATAGGCTGCCTCTTGCACGCCCCCTCCTGGGAATAAGCCTGCAACCCAAGCATGTACCCTTGACCAGAACCGAAGCTGGGACCCTTGAGTCCGCAGGCCAATGCTCTACCCACTGAGCCAAACCAGCTAGGGCAACTTTAACATTTTTTACACCAAATTTTGGTAAATCTAACGATTCATCCATCCTCCACCCATGCCATGGAATGGCATGGGTGGAGGATGGATGAATTGCCTTTATTGACCACTCACTTAAATGGAAGCTCAACGGCAGAGACAGCTGTCCTCTTTGACTTTTAGATCCTGCCAAATTCTGAAATACAGAAAAGACTGAGCCAGTATCATTTTCACAGTTAGCGGGGTCCGTTCCTACAGCCGTGCAGTGAGCACAAGCAAGTCTGTGTGTTACTTCATGACCAGGTCGCCGAGAACGCCTCCTCTCAAAGGGACAGCGCCATCAGCGCTTTGTACAGCAGCCTGAATAAAGTCATCCTGCACTGCCTGTCCCAGCCCCAGCAGTCCCTCTCCGAGGGCCTGGGCCTCCTCCGTGTCCTGTACTTCCTCCAGGAGCACTGGGACATCGTCTTCGCCACCTACAACTCCAGTGCCAACTTCCTGCTGTGCCTCATGCACTGTCTGCTCCAGCTCAGCGAGGGGAGGTAAGACTCCATGGTGGACAGGGAGAAAGGAGCTATGATGTGCACTGACCATCAGGGGGCAGGTGCTCAACACAGGATCTGCCCCCCCTCCCTCCCCCATGGTCAGTATGCTTCCACAGGGGGTGCTCTGCTCAGCCACAAGCCAGGCTGATGGCTGCGAGTGCTAAGGATGTCTAACTGTAGCTTAGGCCCACTTCCCACAGGGGGCATCAGTTGGACATCCCCCGAGGGCTCCTGGGCCAGAAGGATGTCTGACTGCCAGCTGGCAGGTGGACATCCCCTGAGGGATCCCAGACTGTGAGAGGGCGCAGGCTGGGCTGAGGGACCCTCCCTCTAGTTTGTAATGAATGATAGTGTAATCCCAAAGAGCTGAATTTCACAGGGAAATCTCTTGTCTGCTAGTTGTCCCGAAGGATTTGGATTGGAACCCAAGCCTAGGATGACTCCTTACTATCAAGTGTTTCTTTCTCCAAATGAAGACATGAGAGAGAAGAGAGTGGATGACACCCCAAGTTTGACTGATGGTACATTTTATTTGCTGTTTATTTTGGGGAAGTAGATGGATAGTGATAACTGTTGGGGTTGCATTCTTCAGTGTCTTTCCCACGATGAGGAAACATGTGCTAAGGAGACATTCAAAGGCCAGAAAAAGCCCTGGGAAACTCCAGAATGCTGTAGTAGTAAAGCAGGAAAACCTGATGGGGAGTAAAGTTGGATTGATTTTTGCATATTAAACATGGAATGGCATGGGTGGAGGATGAATGGAACCAGAGAGAGCCATAGGGACTTGGTGTGACTAAGAACCAGAGGACCTCACATACGTTGATTTCCCATCTTGTTGTGTCTCTTGAGTTTTTCTTTGGGCTACGAGATAGAGTGACTGGTTGTTGTATAGCTATCTCTTCATCTTTCTTTCTTAGACAAATGGGGATGGAGGAAATAACTCATTTCTTTCATGAAATGTTTGGCTTATTGGAGGGTCTGTTTGGACTTGCTAATATCATGTCCAGTTAAAGGGGTCAGCAGTTTGTAAGAGAGTAGCCAGCCTTTGGGTCCATGTGCCTGAGAGCGTGCTCCTCTGGGCCAGGAGCTGCAGCAGACCCTCGCCACCACTCCGGCGTGCTGCCACTCACAGGGGACAGCTGTGACCCTGGAGGCCGGCACAGAGCCTGTGCTCTGTTAGGTCGGCAGTGCTCAAAAACCTTGGGAATTTAAATTTTGCTCTTACCATGTTAATGACAGGACAAACATTGGCATGTAGGGACTTAGCTGGCAGAGTGGGCGTAGCAATGTCCATCCCCTGAGGCTGAGAAAGCAGACAGTGGAGGCTGGTACCAGAGGCGGGGCCCGGAGGTCCAGGGTCAGAGGGGATTAGGCCCTGCCGTGGTTACAGTGTGGGGCCCAGCGGCAGGGAGGTGTGGTAGGTGTGTACGCATCTGGGCAGATGCAGGCACTGAGAGGGGGGCTGGTGGGGACCTTGAGCCAGCGCAGGAGAGAGGACTGCCTTGGGTCCTGGTCCTGCCTTCTTTGGGGCATCCATTCCTCCGAGAGGCTAGTATGAAGGGCAGGTTGGAGGAGCTTTCTGGGGAAGCAATTCGACTCCCTAGAGCTCTCACAGGCACGTCCGTTGGCATCTGACAGAATCGGGAGAGAAAGGTTCTGCACCCACCAGTATGATTCCTAGCCCCGGACATGCAGGCAACAGGCTTGGCGGGGGAGCTTGGATGCAGGGAGGACGGCTCCCATAGACGCCGGTAACGTTGCAAAGCCAGGCAAGGCTCCAGGTGAGTGGAAGCAGCGCTGACGCCCCCTCTCTCAGTCCAGCACAGCATCCAGAGCACCGTGCAGGCCCTCTGGCAGCAGCTGGTGGCGCAGCGGCGGCAGGAGCTGGAGGACACCTTCAAGATCGACCTCTCCGTCAGCCCCGGGGGCAGAGAAGTGAAGATGGAAGAGGTCACCCCGCTCTGGGAGGAGACAATGCTCAAGGCCTGGCAGAACTACCTAGGTTCGTCCCGGGCCAGGGCTCCCCCGGTTCCCCGGGCCTTTCTCCCTCGTTCCTTCGGGTGGGGTTTACATCACGGACACCTCGTGAATCTCGGCTCACAAGGGATAAATGCTGCTTTGCCTCGTGGCGAAGGGAAAACCAGAGGTGCCAACCGAGTGAGAGGTTCTAGAAATCTCTCAGATGGGAGGGCTGCCATGTCCACGCTCACCTGGGCCTGCAGCTTGGGGGTCTAGGCCCTGCCCTGACAGTCACCTCCGAGCTGTGTAGTGGCCAGAGCTTTGGTTCCAAGGGAAAGTGTTCACCCAAAGATATTAGTGTCCCTGCATTCTATCAGCGATGCAACATTTCACTCTCATGTCCATCAGTGCAGCCGTGAGGACGCGGTCTCATGGTGTCTTTAAAGAGGCCACATCTGTCAGTTATGGCTCATGCCTGCTTTAGGACTTCCAGCATCACCGAGGCCGCGGCCACTGAAGCGCTGGTTGTTTCCGGGTGTACTGTCCCAGACCCCGGGCGGTCCAGCACCTCTTATTCCACTGGCTTCCCACCCTCGCCCTGGCGGGTGTGTATGTGCATGCATGTACACTTTGAAGTCAAAATGCCACTCTATTTCAGGGAAAAGCTCACTTAAACAGGACACGTGCACCCTGCTCATTCACATGTGCACAGCGTGGGTGACATAGTGAGCTGGCCTTGCTGCGAGCAAATGGCTCTCTTTTTGCCAACAACCTTATATCTGAAAACTGTCTGTATTTCAGGGGCTGTGTTTTAAACACATGATTTTATTTACTCTCCATGACACCATAGTGAGATCAGATGCTCTTATTCCCATTGCACAGATGAGAACCCTGAGGCTTAAGGACTTGGCTAACTTGCACAGTAGTGAGTGGGCTGTGGAGTCAGGGGTCTGAGCCGGGCTGGGATGCGGAAACCCATCCCGTATTTCATAGTCAGAAGCCAGCAGTGTGAGCTGCAGCCGGTGCTGTGCCTGTCTCGGCGCTGGCCGGTCGTTTGAACACCCAGCAGCTGGGGAGATAGCGTGTGCCTCCACTCAGTTTCTCCTCTGACACTCTGCTTCCCGTCCCCAGCATCGGAGAAGAAATCTCTGGCCAGTCGCTCGAATGTCGGACATCACAGCAAAGTCACTCTGTGGAGTGAGAGCTTGTCCTCGGCCATGAGGCTGATCCCCGGGCGGCAGGCCAAGGACCCCGAGTGCAAGACCGAGGTGAGCCACACCCCGCTCCTCAGACCCCGGAGTCCCGTCCCCTCTCTGTTGTCACTGACAAATCTAACTCCACGCTCAGCCGCGCCCTCCCGGGGCCTTTGGCTCCCACGCTGAGGCTGCTTCCGGGGAGCCAGGTCTTGGGCTTTAACTTCAAGTGCATGCACCTCCCCTCAAGCACCAAGAGCAGGTGCTCCTCCTGGCATTAAACTTCAAACGGAACCGCGACCCATGCTCTGTCATGTGTGCGCGGGCAGTGCTGGCCCACAGATCAGCGGGAGCTGCATGTGTGGACTCAGCAACGGGGACCGGGCCCTGGCGCTGTCCCGGGAATGAGGTGAGAGCCTCCTGCCTGGTGGGCTGAGGCATTAGAGTTTTCTAATAATTTCTCTAAGGCTTGTGGCACCAACAATGAGTCGTGTGCGAGCACAAATACTGTGTAGGGAGTGGGACCATAGCGGGTTCTCTGGCTGAGCCTGCTGGCCTGTCCACACACACCACTTCTCTGCCATCCCAGCCTCCGGCAGCCTGTGGCTGGGCTTCCGGGACTGGCTTCCGGGAGAGCGCTTTCTGTGACCTCACTCTGGAAGCTTTGCAGCATCAACCCTGCCGGGTCCCTCTGGCTGAGGGAGGCACGGAGTTCTGCCCAGGTTCAAGGGCAGGGCTATGTGCTACCTCCTAGGCTCCACAAGAGCATGTGGGCTCTTTGTGGAAAACACACTGATTCTGGTGCTGGGCTCCCTGGTCTTCAGAGGCAGATGGTGGTCATAGCCTGGACATGGCCACAGGGAGGGTCAGGAGACCTGGGGCAGTTTACTTAGTTCCCTGAGTCTTTCCCTGCTCACCTCCACAACGGGACAGATAACCGTGGGAACCTGTGGGAGAGGGCCCCCAGGAAGGCGGGGTGGATCTTAACTGACATGTGACAGAATGTGAGCTCTCTGCCCATTGGACTTGGGAAAGCGAGCTTGACTCCAAATGCACATGCTCAGAGTCTGGCTCTGCTGTCCCCACGTGTCTGCTGTGGTCAATGGCTCCAGGGAAAGGCACTGTCAGCAGGTCCTGGGAGGAACGGGGCGTGAGGGCGTCCTGCACTGCCCGGCAGTGCAGTTAGGGCAGAGGGGGTGTCTTTGCTGGGCGCTCCCGAAGCGGGGGCTTCAGGACACAGAGGGAGGCCAGGAAGTGAGCATGGCTGGCTGCGTCTGAGCTCTGTGGTTTGTGGAAGACGCTGGTCAGCGAGCTGGTGGGCAGACTCCCTGCTGCCTGAGTGAACAACTCACTGAGGTTTTGTATCAGCTGTGACATCGCACGGCTCCCGGGAGCCCATTGCAGATGCGGAAACGGAATCTCAGAGCAAAGTCAAGGGCTGCGCGGCCAGGAGGAGGCAGAGTGCGGGGGCCGTTCTGCCAACCGTGCGGGACCTCAGGCCATGCCCTGCCCCTCGGGGCCGCTTGCTGAACCCACAGTGAGAATGCGGCGTCCACATCAGAACACGAGGAAGCACAGAAAACGCCAAGTGCTCTAGAAATAGGAGACAGTTTCAAACTCCCGTGTTACCTTAGAGCTTCTCCACCAGGGGAAGCCACAGGGCGTCGCTGCCCTGAGCTCGGAGGCCAGATCATCTCTCCTGGTGCCCAAGCATCTGCGCTGGACCTGTGCACGTGTGTCAGGAGGTGCCCTGCCTCCTTTCCATGCACTTCGCTTTGCCCCGTGGCCAATGAGCACTGTCCCTAAGAGGCCAGCCAGGGAAGGGATGGCCGGGATGCTGGGCACAGACGTGCATTTTATGGGGACCCTCGCAGGCTACTGATGCCAGTGCCAGGTGACTCCCTCAGGGTCACTGTCATTGGCTCCGCTCAGCTGCCTCTGAGTCCTGGGGAGGTAGGGTGAGAGACCAGCCCATTTGAAAGCAACCTGAAGGCCGCACTGTTTGTAGCCACGTAGGATCACAAGGGCTGGCACGGTTAACTCAATGCGTGGAGAGATGTGGGAACAGGAACGCTTGAACCGGCTCTGCCACAGCCCGCCCTCACAGAAAGGCTGTGGAAGATGTTTCTACACAATGGAGGTCTCATTTGCTCATTCACTTATTCAACAAATACTCATTAAGTGCTGACTATTTCCCGCTGTAAGCACCAAAGTTACAAAGAGAAAAAAACTAACATATCCTCTGCTTTAGTGGCGGCTGCTTCCTAGGGGGTGAAGAGCTACAGTGAACAGATAATAAATTCATAAATGTGGAAGAGCAGGGAAGGGGAGAGGGTGGCGAGAGAGGTGCGGGCTGTGTGGATGGAGGTGGGCAGCTGCCCTCCCGGCAGGAGGTGTGCAGCAGAGAAACAAGGAGGACCTGTGCTGGTTACCCTCCAGGAAGGAGCAGTCAGGCCGGGGGGCTCACCAGGCAGAGGCACCAGGCCGGCGAGTGCTGGGTGTCCTCCGGCCGCCCGGGGAGGGGCTGGAAGAGTGAAGAGGGGCAGCCCGGGGACATCGCCCTCGGCTGCGTTCAGGGAGGAACTGGGATTTCTCCCTCGGGAGCAGCAGGGCAGGGTGACTTACGTTCCTCTCCGATCCGGGCACTGGGAGAGTCTTGGGAGATAATCATGGCCCAACTCATAACTGCATGTACCTAGCGGGATAAACACATGTACACATACACACACACACACACACACACACACACACACACGTGTGTGTGTGCACCCCCCACCTCCGCTTCTTCCTTCTTATGTGAGCCCCATCTGTCTCTTCTTAAACCTGATTGTATATCCTTTCTATAGCTTTTAACCTGTGGGCTTTTTAAAGCCAACTTAGTTTTGAATCAAAGTGGGTTATGTTTTAATTTGTAAAATGAACTGTATCTTTGCTCAGCAGCGTTCCCTGCCAGGAGCTCCGCCTGCCCGGGCACAGTGCCTGCCGCTAGGAGGTTCTCAGGGACAGTGCTGGGCGCGGAGCTCCAAGCCTGGGGGCTCCCGCAGCCCTCACCCGTCACGCCCCACACACTGTGCTGCCAGAAGGCACGGCGTCTCAGGTACACATGTGCGCCATGATGTCACAGGATAAGAGCATCAACTATTTGCCCTGGGGTCTGTTTAATTATTTTTAAAAATTAATTTTGATTATTACAGCTGATTACACCTCAGTGAGCAATGTAATTGATATTTTCTAATGCATCCCAAGGAACATTTTGTTCAACACGCTTTTTGTTGTTGAAGGTTAAAGACTCCGTTATTGGTTTTTCCCTCAATATGCCCACATCATCAGTCCCTCCAGCGAGGCCGCCATCTGGAAAAGGCAGCGCAGACATTACTCAGGCACAGTGCATGAAATTGGCGTTTCGGCATCTTCCGTCTCTCCGTTGTAATTAAGGGAGCTGGTTTTGGAGGAAACATTATTCATTTGGTGTTACTCCTGATCATGTCAGCAGCTGACAGCTCCACACGCCGGGAAACTGTTCCTGGGGCAGGGCGCGGGGTGCGGGCTAGCCCGATCCCTCTTGCTGCTCGGCTCCTGGTGGGAACGTTTCCTCCGGGCAGCTCAGCGGCAAGACCAAGGCCGGTGTGAGAGGGCAGCCCCTTCTTCCTCTTCCAGGACCCCTTCTCAGCCCCTCTGGCACCCTGGTGACCAGGTCTCTGCCAGGGCACAGGCTGTGGTGCCAGCCAGTTGGACAGAGGCTGGGGTCCGGGATCTCCCGGGCACCTGTGTTTGCCAGCGTGGAGAAGGCCAGGGAACCCTGCCCGCAACCTCGCCAGCTGGGCTCTGACTTTGCTCACCGCTCAGTTCCAGATGTTATTGTTTAAAACAAATTGAATCAACAGCCAGCTCTGGTGTCTTAGTTTTGACAGACACTCCTTGGTTATGGTGTATTCGTGGAAACTGGTGAGGGGTGGGCAGGAGCTCTCTGTTCTATCTTTAGGACTTTCCTGTGAATCTGAAGTTATTCCACAGTATGAAGTGTATCAGCGTCTGTCTTTCAGTGTTAGTGAAAGGAAACAGTAAACGGACATGGGCACTGGGGCCTGGGAGAGGGGCTGAGGGTGATGGCGCCTGGCCTGGGCAGCATGGCGATTCGTGGCATGGCGGGTGCAGGAGAGCATGGGGTCTAGTGGGGGAGCCATGGCCTAGGTGGCAGTTAGGCAGGCGAGCAGCATGTTTCTCAATGTCCAGGTTAGACTGCAGTTAGGGATCCTGAGGGTGGATGGTCTGGGGCTGTGGATCATCAGTGAGGGAGAGGCTGCAGCGCTCAGAGCTGTGGGAGTTAATGTGCCTGAGAACCTGTTGTGCCAAGGATGAGCTGAGAAGCAGGAAGAGGGCCAGAGGAGACGGGCGAAGCAGGCCAAGGCGGTGGCGTGTCCAGGCATGGGAGGAGCAGGCCAGAGGAGAGGGGTTGGGTGCAGTGGGCACCCCTCTGGGTGCTGCTGCCTGGTCTGTGTCTTGTCTAACAAAGTGTGAGGTGCATGTCCCCCCGCTTTGCTCCTGGGATCAACCACACCTTGTCTCAGGCCGGGGCCAGAGGGCCCCACTGGAGCACAGCCCTGGAGCCGGCCAGCCCTGGTCCTGTGTGTTTCCGTGGAAGCAGCTCAGCAAGCATTCAGGGCTGTTTCTGAAGCCAAAATTGCCCGTGTAGGGAAGCCAAGGGCCCTACGGGGAGTAGCAGAGTGGATGGAAGGCACCGCAAGCCAGGGTGACACACCGACTTTGATAGAACACAAAAGACATGCTTTGTGTTGGAGTTCTCTGTCTGCCTGGCAAGGACACAGAACGCGGAAGCACTAGACATGTGTCCTCTAAAGCTGCCCTGTGGGTGAGCACAACCCCCTGCCAGTCACCTGTAAGACCAGCCGTGCCCACATGTGAGGCCTGGAAGACCTCAGAGACCTCAGGTGCAGGTGAGGGCAGGCAACTGTGCCCCTGCTATGGGCTGCCTTCCGGAACGTGGGCACAGGCCCATCCTTGCCCACCCCAGCCGTGAGCAGCCTGCCCTGGGGAGACACTGGCAGACCAGCACT